CTTCGCCGACTCGCCAGCCCTTCCAAGGATCGCTGCCCGCGCTCGTCCCGCCAAGCCCCCCGCCCCACAGAACCAGCCGCCGCACGTTTTCTCCAGGCCCTGCAAAAACCCTCGTGCCGCGCGTGCCGCCAAGCCTGACGAGCAGAAGCTTGCTCGGGTGGCCATGTAAAAAATCCCGTGGCGCCCAGCCCCCTCACCAGCAGCTGTTTCACCGGGCGCAAGGCCTCCGCGAGCGCGGCAGCCACGTGATCCTGCTGGCCCTGGTGCTTGCCTTTGCCGTGTCCGGCACCCTTGCCATTGCCCTTTCCCTTGCCGGATCCGCGCCGGCCGCGGGCGCGACGCTGAGGGGCGTCGGCAGCAGCAGGCCCGCTGTCCCGGCGGTCACAGCTGCGGCTGCGGCTGCAGCTTTGCCCGCCGCTGCGGCTATCCGCCGAAGGTCGCCTGTGCAGACGCTCGGCCTCTTCCCTCGCAGCTGCGGCCTTGGCGTCCAGGAGGACAAACTCCGCCAGCTGCGCCAGCGCGACCAAAGCAGCCGCCAGGGTGCTGCGCAGCCAGGCCAGCGCACGCCCCTGCAGCACCGCGCCCAGCCGGTACAGAGCCAAGCACGGGGCGGACAGACCCTGGTGCTCACCTGCCGCCTGGCGGCATGCAGTGCAGGCAGCGGGGGCTGTAGCTCCTGGGCACAAGGAAGGGCGGCGAGGGGCGAAGCTGAAAAGGCTGCGGCGGCAAGGCAGGCAACGGAGGGCCGCCCTGCCCCCCCTCCCGCGCGAGGTGCAAGCGGGGAGGAGGGCACAAGCCGTAAGAACAACGCAACGAGAGGGTTGCCCGTTGCGAGGGGCGGCCAGCACAATGTATTGCGTCCTAATTCCGGGCAAGCAAAGAAGTCATGGTGAATTCCGGCATTACAAGAAATCAACAAACCACGTGGCATCAAGATTGATGGCAACATGTGGGTTAGCTTGTGTTGGGGGATGCGGAGTCATTGCCAACCCGTGCAACCCACCCGACCCCAGCCCACCCCACCACCAAACCCCAACCCCACCCACCCCACACACAACTCATTGAAATCCAGTGATCTCATTGCATCAACATTCGCGTGTAATCACGTGCCCCACACCCCTCACCCTACCCCAAAGCCTGAGTGCGCACTTGGCTGTGTGAGTGCGCAAATGACTGGAACTGAACCCGGCGCCAACGCCGACAGCACCTTGAGCTCCGTTGCGCGGGCGGGCGGAAGTTGACGCCGAGCAGGGCGCAGGCTTCCAGCGCGCACCCCTTGCCACGAGTGCCGCGTGCTTCTTGGGCACCTGTTCTTACACTTCAAGGGATTCCTGGTTTCATGGTGCCAGGAACGCGCCGAGTATGGGTGTTCTTCGTGCGTAGGTGTGCGCTTGGAAACTTTTCCTGCTGCTGCCCAGGTTGCTGTTCACGCGCGGCGCCCCCCGGGGCGCGGAAGGCAAGGCGGAACTCCTGCAGCGCATCTCGGACTTCCACGCCGGCCGCTGGGAGGCGCTGCTGGACCGAGCGCGCGCCCTTCAACCTAACGCGCGCTCCTGGGAGCGGCCCACGTCGGCGCAGCTGCGTGCGCGTGCGTGCGCTCAAGTCCGGCAGGGCGACTTATCCCGCGCGCGGCGGACACTCACTTTAGCAGTGCTGGCCCCTGGCAATGAAGCCCTGCAGGCCGCCTTGTCCGACCCGGACTGCTGCCCGCCGCAGCCTCGAAGGCCGCTTTCACCGCCGCCCTCTCTGCCGGCGGCTATCTGGCTCGATGCCGCCGCTGTAGCGGACGCTCTCCGCACGGCCACAAAGGGCACGGCGGCCGGCCTGTCTGGCGCCACAGTTGACCACTACAAAATCCTGCTGGCTGATGGGCCACGCTGGCGATGTTCGCCGAGGCGGGAACAAAGCTGACCTTTCGTCGCCTGGTCGCCCGCACGCTCGCCCGGCGCCATGCGCGCCGCTTCGATGAAGCCACCAGGCCGCACCAGTTCGCGCTGCAAGCGCGAGCTGGGACAGATTGCTTGGCCGCTTTGCTTCGCGCCGCCACCGAGCTCGACCCCGCAGCCACCGTCGTGTCTCTTGACGGGCGTTGCGCTTATGACTCGGTGTCCCGGGCAGCCTTCCTTGACAAACTCGAGGAAGTGACGCCATCGCTTGTACCCTTGCAGTCGGTGTACTTGTGGTGGGGCGGTGCCGGCGCTTGCCATCGCATCCTACAAGGCGATGGCTGTAAGCAGGGCGACGCGTTCGCGGCGTTGGTGGCAGCCTCCCAGCAGCTCCGGCCGGGAGAGTTTCTCGCTGCATTCTTGGATGACTTGTATATCGTCACCATGCGCCGCGGACACACTGCAAGCGCTCCTCGGCGCCGCTTGGCCGGATGCCCGCCGCCTCGCTTTTCTTCCAGCGCGCGAGGGCGGCCTTGGTCTCTTCTTGTGTGCCGCACGCGCAGCGCCTGTTGCCTACTCGGCAGCCTGGGCCGATTCCTTTCCGGTCATGCTCCAGCATCGTCCTGATGCGGCACGACGAAACTGCCGCCCCTCGCCTCGCCGGCGCCGCTGGCCCGAGCGTCCGTCCTGGCAGGAAATCCTGGCGCGCGCGGCTCCTCCCGCTGTAGCGGCTGACAGTGTACCAGGCGATTGGCCGCATGGTTGGCAGCTTCTCGCGTCTCGCGCACTCAACACCCATTTTCGCAAGACCGAGCTTCTGCCACACATGCGGCCGACGCTTGTCTCTGCTCGCAGTCTGGCGCGCGTGCTGGGGCTTGGCTTGCGGTTGTGCCCACTGACCCGGGAACCACGCGGCCCCGGCCCACACGCCGTTGGGCGACCATGCGGCGGCATGCCCACGCTTGAACAAGCGTCCCGCGTGAAGGTCTGGGGCCTGGATCTTGTGCTTTACGACGCCACGCTCGTTGCTCCTCTCCGTCGCGACGGCCAATCGCAACCGCGCGCAGCCGAGGAGGACGGCGCAGCCATAGCGGTAGCACGGCGCCGCAAGGAGGCGCAGTACCCGGAGCTTCGCCGGCCTGGCCCGCAGCGGCTGGTCGTTCTTGCTTGCGAGACAGGCGGGCGGTGGGGCCCCGAGGCATGCGGCTTGGTTGATCGCTTGGTGCGCCTCCAGGCACTCTGCGCGCCTCAGGCCGTCCGCCGCGCGGCCGAGGCGGGCTGGCGCCGCAGGTGGTGGCACTGCTCAGCGCCGCCTTGCAGCGCGCCCTCGCTTCCGGCGTTGGCTTCCCCCGCGCGGCCGGCTGCGGAGCGAGCCCGACCTCGCCGCCGATGTCCTTGCGTTTGGCTGGCCCGTCCGAGCCCAGCCTTCTGCCTTTGCGCGGCTAGTCGCCGCGTCGGCGCGCGCGCTTTGCTCCGTTTCGGGTGGGGGGGTTCCGGGCTCCCTGGGTCTCACTGCCGCTGGAAGGAAAAAGGCGTTGGGGAGAAAAACCAAAAAACATGAGGTTTCTGAGTGCGCAGATGCTGGGATCCCTGCCCCACTCCCGCCCCTCAATAACTCTTCCAGGCGAGGCGCCCCTCACTGCTGGTCGGCTGCCTGCTGGCCGTGGTTTCTGGAAGGACAAACGCTGGCGACGAAGGAGCCAAAAAAACGGCTGGCTTTTTGAACCCGTGCTCGCCCGCCTTAGCTTCGCGCCGTTGTGGTCGCGGCTTCCATCGGTCGTCCCCGCTTTGCTGATCTTCCAAATTGCCTTGGCACCTCGATGGCCGCCCATCACCGAGCTGCAGCGACTGGGCGCCTGCAACCTGCCCCAGGGGCCGGGGCCATACCCCTCAAGCGTATGCGCAGCGAGCGGTCTACACATTTTTGGATATTTAGTAAGTAGCGCTGTGCGTTATGATGCTCACATATCAAAGCAGTTTTTGTTCTTTGGTTGCGTTAAAAGCTCAAGCCTGCAGTTAGGTGGACGCTTTCACACGCGATTTGGAGGCAGGAGTTGGGATCAAACAAAAGACGGACCCCTTGGCCTGCTGGGAGATGTGTTTTTGTTTTGCAAGCTGCACAATAGACACCGTGTTGCCCGAATGGGCTGCACTTGCCTCCTTTGACGCAATGGCATGGCGCTCATGCCAATGGCTTCGCTTGCTGCGACGTGTTCGCTGCCGGCCCTTTTCGTTCGCGCCTTGATCCAGCTCACTGGCAAAACTTTAGAAAGTTGGCTGTCAGGACCGGTCTTCACAATGGCGTGCAAGGCGACAGTGCAGGCAGTTCGCTTGTCAGATGAGGCAACATGATGGAGCCTTTGGCAGGTCTTCTGGCAGTTCTGTCGGGGCTTCCTGCCTTGTGCGAGGGGTGCGAATCTGAGGCAAAGATTTGCTTCTTCAATTTGTTGGATTTCTTTGATACATTTGTTTCAGGCCTGCCCTGGCAAAGACTTGGGAAAGTGTGCAGCCCTTGCTGGACGGCTGTGGCCTCGGGCAAGTATGCATCTGATGTGAAACAATTCCATAGTGCAAGCGTTGCTTGTGGGATCTCGCTGGCACCAGGGGGCTGTAACTTGAGACCAAACACCAGCAAACACGAGAGGTAGAGAGAGAGAGAGGTGCGGGGCATTGGTTAGCATTGATGTTGTTCGCAAAACATGTTTTGAGAATCGTGCGTAATGATGCTCCAGCATGTCAGCCTATGGCCGAGCAACACGTTGGCCTGCACCACCTGGCGCGCAGCCGAGCCATGCCGCCGCGGAAGATCGGCCCTGGCCCAGGGGTTCGACGACGTGATGCGGCTTTGGTGGCAAGTTGTCATTGCAGAGCAGTCAATGGAGCATTTTTTTGATTAGAGGATGTTGCAAACGCACGTCCCATAAATCTTTGGACGAGTGATGGGTATATAGCTGGCATAGCAGAATAACAGGCACTTAGACCAGTTCAGGAACAACTGTTTTGCAAAGCGTGACGTTCGGACATGGGTTTGGTGCAGCTGTGCAGGGCTCACAGAGTGTCACAGTGCCAGCTTCCAGGGCCTTCGCTAGCATTTGAAGTCTCCGCCGCGAATCCATGCCCGACTTAGCTCCAGAGGTCGAGCTTTTCAGGGATTTCTTGCGCATTCGCAGCGTCAGTGGCGAGGGCCCAGCAGGCTCCTACGCCCAGGCTGTGGCATGGTTGGAGGCGTTCTGCCAGCGGCTGGGGCTCCCGACCAAGCAGGTGGAGCCAGTGAAGGGCAAACCAGTGCTGCTGGCGACCTGGGCTGGGAACAGCGACCTGCCGTCCCTGTTGCTGAATTCGCACTATGATGTGGTGCCGGCCATGGATGAGTTCTGGAATGTGAATCCATGGACTGCAGATGTGGTTGACGGGAAAATTTACGGCCGTGGAACGCAAGACATGAAGTGTGTGTGCGTGCAATACCTGCTCGCCATCGAGCGGCTAAAAGCCAAAGGCTTCGTGCCGCGGCGCACCGTGCATTTGAGCTTCGTGCCCGATGAGGAAGTCGGTGGCGTTGACGGCATGGGCAAATTGTTGCAGACGCCCGAGTTCACTTCTCTGGGAGTCCTCGGCTTAGCTTTGGACGAGGGCTTGGCCAACCCCGGGGATGCGTTCACAGTTTTCTATGGCGAGCGCACGCCGTGGTGGATTTTGGTGCGGGCAGCTGGACCCACAGGCCACGGATCACGGTTCATCAAGGATACAGCGCCTCAAAAGCTGATGCGCATGGCAGAGCGCGCTTTAGCTTTCCGCCGAGCGCAGGAGGATGCTTTAGGCCACGACCAGAATGGATGCAAACATGGTACAGCTAAGAAGCTGGGTGATGTCACTACGCTCAACCTGACTATGTTGCGCACCGGCGTGTCCAATGACAATGGCAAAACATTTTGCCTGAACGTTATCCCGACAGAGGCAGAGGCAGGATTTGATGTACGCATCACACCTCACCTGGCCCCAAAGGACTTCCAGACTTTGCTGGACAAGTGGTGCGAGGAGGAAGGCGTGACTTGGCAGTTTGCACCTTGGACGCGGCCGCTGAAGGAGCACCATTTGACGGAGACCAACAGTTCCAACCCCTGGTGGGTGGCTTTTCAGGAGGTGGTGACCGGGATGGGGCACAAGGTCGAGCCAGAGGTGTTCCCCGCCGCCACGGACTCGCGGTTCCTGCGGGAGCTGGGCATCCCGGCGCTGGGCTTCTCCCCGATGAAGAACTGCCCCATCCTGCTGCACGAGCACAACGAGTACATCCCCATCGACACGTACCTGTCGGGCATCGAGGTCTATGTGGGGCTCATCGAATCCCTGGCATCCAAAGACAAACTGGAGGGAGAGGATGATCAGCTCAAGAGAAGAAGGGTGCGATGAGGCCATGAGAGCGGGTTTGCGAGATCTTTGGAAAAGCGTCCTTGGTTGCTGCTCTTGTTTTTGGGGGGGTGGGGGTGGGGGGTGGGACGGGCAATGTGCATAAATGGTCATAGCTATATTGTGTTCATTGGCAACGCCTGTGCTGTTTGGTCAAATGCAGCGTCGCGTTCAAGCAAATGTTTCGCTTGCTGATGCGCACGAAGCGCGCACACGCAACGCACTGCGGCAAAGGTCACCTCGCATCGATCTAGCTGTGCCAGGCGTCAACCGCCTTTGTTTTTTGTGTAGTTGACGCTGGCGGGGTGAGGCTTGAAGGTTGCTTAGAATAGAACGGCTGGGAAGCGGGGCATGCTCCGCAGACTTATGTGAGCATGCTTTGAACATTATTTTTTGTTTTTTTTCTGTCGGATCTTCACCGTGCCGCGCGCGTGCGCAGAAGCTTGAGGCGGAGGGCGCCGTCCCAGCAGCTGCAGCTCTGCAGCGGCTGCAAGAAGCTTTCCAGGTCTTTCAGAGGACCGGGTGTGGCACGTGCTCAAGCCAAGTCTCACTCCCCGAGTCCTGGACTTTTTGGGAAGACCATTTTAGTGGGAAATAACAAGGTCAGACTTTCTCCGGTCAACGTGAGAAGTATCGAAGGCCACACATGGCTTCAGGAATGAACTTGAGCAGGCTTCGTGATGGTCCTTGAGAGCTGGAGGATGTTGTAAGAGCTGCGCAATGCGCTCGCAGGACACGACAGGGTGAGGGTGAGAACCTTGAACAATCTGCTCGGGCAGTCACTGCAGATGAGCTGATTCAGCATCCATCCGCTGATGTGCGCCTGTGGGTGGCGACTCTTGCCTAGGTGGCCTTGCTCTTGTTCGCCTCGTTTGGATTGTGTGTCAATGTTAGTCGCCTCAGGCCTTGTAAGAGCACACGAGCCAAGGAAATGTTTGGCAGAGGTGCTGATGATTTTCGTGCCGGCGCCCCCCATAGAGAGTGAGAGGCCGCTTGCCACCCTCATTTGATTAGAATGATTGCTAGCATGTGTGTGGCATTTGCTCATTTTTTCCGCCCTATGAGTCACGGGGATTTGTGTGGGGGGAAGGACCACATGTCCGGTTGGCGCGCAACTTTGGTAGTTTGTGAAACTTGCATTGTGTATGCACCTAAGTTGTTAGCAGCTGCCCAGCTTTCTGCTGCAAAGTGCGACGTCTCAGGATGCCGCGTGTTTTGGAGTTGCTGATTTCGCAGCTGGCCTGGCTTCGGGATAGCTCAGCGCCCAACTATCAGCATGCGTTGCATTTGCTGGACAGGCCGGGTTGTGCATAACAATCAGTCATGATCTTCTCATGGTAGCAAGTTGCTGCAAACACGGATGGGTCATTTGAAGCTCAGTGATGTTTTGGCGTGGGGTGTGTGGGGCGCATGGTGCTCGCAGGGTGCTTATGTCGGTTTGTGAAGGGCTGCATTTAGCGCACCGAATTGGCCCTGTCAGGTTGGCGGAGGTGCGATGCTACTTGGAGAGCAGCATGTGGAATGAATGAAGCAGCTCTCCTCCAACATGCTATAAGAAAGGTAACGCCGCGACACTGCCGAAAAGAGTTGCAGTTAGTTACCGTTAGTTTGCATCTCCATCATCTCCCGGGCTGACTTCAGTTGTGCTGGGCATGCTCGTGAGCATGAGGTTTCATGCTTCTTTTCGATTGCCCGGATCCTGTGCGGCTGCTTTGTGCGCTGGTTACTACATGCCTTGACGTGGTGCGTCAGGTGAGTGGCTTAGAGAAACTCAAGTGACACACTCCACAAGACTTTGCCCACATTGAGCGAATCCAGCGTATCCCAGCGTCAGGCCAAGGATGACCAAGTGCTGGTGGAGAGCACGCTGGCACAAGTGTTGGGCAGCATTTTGGGTGAGGCCAGGCTTAATGGCCGACGGTATGCCTCACACGGGGTATGAAAAATCCATGAGGCCGGGGGCTGCCCAGCCCTGCAGGCAGACGAGCTGCCAAAGGCCGTGCTGAAGGAGTTAGTTGAGGAGCTGGTGCCGCGAAATGGACCTAATGCAGCAGGAGCAAAGGGGAAGAAAGCTCATGAACACTTCCCGTCCAAATAGCCGAAAGGCCCAGTGAATGTACTTTGTACAAGCATCCCATGGCAGTCCGGGAAACTGTGTAAGTTGTTTGGTTGACTGGAAAAGCAAGAGCATGTGCCATGAAAGTCGAACTCAACAATTACTTGCAGCAGTTTCAGGCAAGCCGTTGTACGAAATTTATATATGCTTTTGACCTGCATAGTGTAAGCAAGTTTACAATGAGCATCTTCGCTCGCCACTCCAAGGCAAATTGTCGCTAGTACTGCTACAGGAATTGCTAGAGCTGCTTACGAGTGCGAAGGTGGCTTTAACTCTTCTTTCCCTTCCATTGGCTTTGGTTCCTTCTGAAGTCCGCAGGCCAGACAAGCGCGCAGGCTTCCGATTTTTCGTTTGACTTGTTTCCCAAATTGAATCTTTGACCGACAGTCGGCTGGTCCTTTGCAGGATTGGTTCGGCTGGTGCTGAAGCACCTGGCTCACCGCAGCGCCGCTGTGCCGGTGAACGACTTCCTCACCCAGAGCCTCATCGAGGCTGGGCTTGCGGTTGGGCCGGAGGTGTGTCGGATGAGGTACAGCATGAAGCCTTTTCCCTCTAAATTTGGGAGTCATCACTGCCATATATTCAGTAGAAGCCTTGACCCCCGAAGTAACCACCAAAGGCGAGCGTCTCACAGCTGGGAGATGATTGGGACGCAAGTGTTTGAAACCCAGGTGTCGCAATCCGCGAGCCATGAGGATTCTGACTCTGCCGGAGTGCTTGCAATCGCTGCCTGAACCGAGACAATTGCATCGTCACATCATTCGACTTGCCTTAGTGACCTTCAAACCCCAGCGTGCCGATGAAAAGCTGAACCGTTCAACTGCAAGCTCGGCATGTCCTTCACTGACCCGCGTGCGACCTTCCAAACCAAGCACTCACGCAGATTTCCCCTCACTGATGCCCATGCATTCCACAAGTGGCTCCTGCCTTTGACCGGCGCGTTGGGCTTGCCTTCCTGTTCCCTCCAGACCTCACCATAGCCCAGCAGTCTCCGGATCGTCGTAGCTGCCATCGTAGGACTCCTCGCAGTCCGCAGTCCCAGCCATGGCCATCTGCAAGCCAAACCCTGCGAGAGCCCCCTCACCTTTTCCGTCCGCCAGAGCCGCCATGTGGTTTTCCTCCATCCTCGGCCAAGGCAAACATATCTCTGAGAGCGGCCCGAATGGCAAGGTTCTTCGTTGCGGCAGTCGGTCGCCCGAAGCCCGTTCTCTTTTCAAGGAAGGCGACCGGGGACTCCAAGAAGCCTACAACTGGCAAGTGGGAGGTTGGCCAGCTTGATTTCGCTTGCGTTGAGGTAAGCCAGGAAAGAAGTACATCAGAAGTTCGTCAAGCAGACCGACCAGGCCGCCCCAAGCAGAAGAACGAACCTCTCATGAAGGAGATCTTCTTGGCGAGCAGAGGTTGGATTCAGTGTGAACAAAACAACATCACCCGGGAGACAACAAGCAAGTCTTGAGTTTCACGCGTGCAGAAAAAAGCTGTGTCTGGGCGGAAGCGTCTCAAAACGACCGGCCGAATGGCGGAAGTCGGGAGTTGCTCGACGGCCGCGAGGGATTTCACTTGCAGTTTGGGGATCTTGATGGACAGTCGGCGCCGACGTTGCAACACGGGATGAGAGCGCTTTGCGCGGACTAGCCAAAATGCTGGGGACTGTGATGCGTTGCCCTCAAGAAGCGGTTTCTTGCTGCCGATCAGAGGTGGCACGTCAAGCGTGATCCCGAGTTTGAATGATTTAGGAAGGTGAATGCTCGCAACATGTGAGCCGTGAAGATATCACCTGTGAGCCATGAGCCAAGCAACATGAACTAAGGAACATGGGCCGTGCGATTTCTGATTGATTTGTAGATTGTTGATGTTCGTTGGGCCGTGCGACCCTCAAGGGATGGATTTGTGCCGCACACGAGCTGGCACGGAGAACAAACAGGCTGCTGAGCATCGCGCCCGCAATCAAGACTAAACGCGGTGTTAGAGTGCACCAATTACAGCCAGCAATTAGTATTATTTGTTCCGTGGAAGGATGTTAGGAGTTGTTGCCTTTGTCGGGGTTAATCCGCAAAGCAACGGCTTGCTTTTGGCTTGTTCCCTCCCGGAGGCTACCCAAGACGACCTGGCCATGCCCTTGACCGCAGCGCAACGTGGAGATGCATTAGAGCAGGTACTGTGCTCAATCTACGAAGTATATGTCGTCGAGCCTGCGCTAGTGGCTCGTGTGCTGCCTCATTTGCAAGAAGATTTGCTGAGCCTTGGCAAGAGCAAATGGAGCTTCTCAAAACAATGTTTGAAATGCAGAGGTGAATGTCAGCTGGTTATGGCTGTTGGTAGCTGAGGAGTGCAGACATCGACCGGCGGAGATCAGTTACAGCACTGGTGGGTGAGTTGCTCGCCCATTGCCCCGGTGAGAGTTCGGGCAGTGTAGCTGGGCGGCGCGAGCTGTTGGTTTGTTCTAACCCACTGCTTGTTGATCGGCACCGGGACCGTCTCTCTGACGCAGATGATGGGGTGCGCTTGGCGGCCCTCGACGGGGCTGCGGCCCTTCTGCAGACCGCTGTGTCGGTGACGGAGCAGCCCTGCTTCCAGTCGCTGGTGGTGGCGGCTGAGTCCTACGTCGCAAAGCTGGCGGAGCGCAGCCTGGACCCCAACGAGACCATCCGGGCGCGGGTGGTGGAGGTGGTGACCCGAACTGGGTCCAGTGGCTCGGGCCTCAGGTTGGTGCAGGAGGTGCTCCCCGAGGTGTGCCGGCGGGTGGTGGACAAGAAGGCCGTGGTCCGCGAGGCCTGCGCCGAGGCCATGGCCAAGCTGTACGCGAGGCACGCGCTGCCGCGCTGGATCTCCGGGCAGGGTGCTGGCGACTTGGCATGGCTGCCGCAGCAGCTGTGTGAGGCCTACCTCACTTTCAGCCGCGGCCGGCTTGGGCACATTGCGCAGCTGGAGGACGGGGCTGCGCGATTGTTTGGGCTTGCACCTGCATTGGGAGGAATAGCTTGGCACTCGCACCCTTGAAAGACCCTTGAAAGGAACACATTGAGCAGCACGTCTTGGGCTGCGGTGCCAAGATGGAGGTATCCCAGCGAGCACTGGCCATGCTGGGCTTCGTGTCGTCTGTTCTGCGGGGTCAAGAGGCTGCAGTACAAGGGCTGCACCTTCTGCTTGCTAGGAAGGCAGATGCCAATGCTGCGCTCCTGGCCTTTGTGAGCCAGAGATCGAAGCATGCTTCTCCGTTGCTGGCGGACGCAGCGAAAGGAGCACTGGTACCATTTGCATCGGAAGCGCCAGTTCCTGATGAGGCGAGAAAGCTGTTTGACAGACTTGCTCGGCACAGTCCGACCTTTGAGGAGAGATCCTCAGCCCATGAGTTGCTCCCACAGCTTGCTGCCATGAATGCTGTGCGGGACAAGTCTCTTTGGACCCATCTTGGCCTTCTGCTGGACCCGTGCATCGACGAGAGCACCGAGGGGCTGTGGGACCCCCTGGCAGAGCTTGACCGCCTTCTGCGCATCCACGACTTAGGCACTCTGACACCGCTGGTGCGGCGGGCCCTGCTCTGCACCTGGCTGCTCCCAGATCAGGTGCAGACCTTGGTGGAGCTCTGGAATGGGACCCAGGACCAGGTGTAGGTGAGCAGGGTGGTAAGAGCGGATAGAAGGGCACTGGACAGCTTGTTGCCTCCAAGTAATGAGCGGCCCTTGCAGGATCTGCCTGAGGGTCTGGATCTAGCAGAGCTGCGAAGATCCCTGGCGCAGCTGCCCAAGTACTTCACAGGGGCCTTCCTGCCGCAGGCAGAGGCGCTCATGGAGCTGCTCGGGCAGCCGGCAGAGGCCACGGCTGCTTTGAAGGCATTGGCCGGCATTGCCAAGAGGGGCCAGGCCATGGATTTCCCGGCCACCTTGGAGGACGTGGAAGGCAGGTCCAGAGTCCAAAAGCTGAATGGCGATCGTTCGCTTGTGCTCAAAGCTGACGGCAGGCAAGTGCTTCTTGCTGCTTTCAGCCATCGAGGCAGCTGAGAACTGCGGCTCTGCCTGCCGCAAGGCCGTGCGAACGCTGTGGCTCTTCCCTGACGCCCAGCGGCTGCCGCTGGCCCGTCTCCTGCTGCTGGCTTCGGGCCAGTGCTTCGAGATGGGGAAGCAGGCGAATGCATTTGTTGCAAATTGAGGGAGGGGGCCAGGGGGAGGTGGAGGCGGGAGGCGGTGCTTGCTTTTTCATTTTCAACTAGAGAGGGAGCTTTCAATCATTTGGATGGAGCCGATTTTCACCCAGATCACCGCGCTGAACCTGGCGGCGGCTTTGTATGAGCAGGACTTTCCGGGCTCGAAGCTCTTCAGGCACCTGGAGCAGCGCGACGATTGGCTGGAGAGGGGCCGACGCTTTTTGGCCGGGCCCGAGGCTCCCGAAAGATGCTGCGCGGCTGTGGAGCTGTTGACGTCCGCAGGGTCCAGCGAGGACATCCTGCGCGCGCTCTCGGCTTCTTCCACTGCTCTGGTGCCGGCGGAGCGCGAAGATCGTCCTGGCGAGGAATGGTGTGACCCCTTGCCTTTGCACGGGGTTTGCTTCAGTTTGCGGGCACTGCGCTCCGGGCGGATCGCTGTGTCCACCAGGCTCCTGGCGCAGCTTGCAGCCAAGATGGATGCATGCCTTTCCAGCCGGGCGACTGGGGATGCAGATCGGCTGGTGAAACTGCTGCAAAGCCTGCAGAAGCCCGTATCCGCGAGGCTGCGATTTCCAGATCGCCTGAGGCTCTTTTCAACTCTACCACTTATGTTTGCATTCGCCCCACTCAAGCGCCACAGGGACATAATGCAGAGGATGCTGCAAACCACGCTGGTCAAGGCGTTTCACGACAACCAAGAGCCAGTCCTGGACTATTGCATTGCGTGCTTCATCCATTTCTTATCCAACCTGGAATTGTTTCAGTTTGAAGCCTCAGCTGCTGCTTCTGCCTTCCAACGGAGCAGCAAGCTGTGCTCCTTCTTGTGTGATGCCCTTCTTCGGCACGACATGGCCCACATCAAGGGCGAGTTTGCGTCCGTGACGCTGCAAGTGTGCGATCGCGTGCGGTACTTCGTGGATCGCGAGCGGCCGGACGCGGATTTGGTGCAGAAGGCCTCCAGCGTGCTGCGCTACGTCGTGGAGAAGCAGTGGCCCGGCTGGGCCGAGAGCGGCGGGCCCGGGCGGGGCAGCATGCCGGCGGAGCTGTTCTGCGTGCGCGAGGGCTTGACGCCTGGGCCGGAGGACCAGGCGCTGACCACAGCGAATCAGGAGGTGCTGGTGACGCCCAAGGGCAAGAGGAGTGCCCCACCGCTGGTCACTTCAGTGGCCCGGCCTATGGGAACAGTGGGCACAGACATGGGTGGATCTGGTGAAGGCGGTAGCGGCAATGGCCATGTGAGTGGATTGAGTGGTGGATCGGGCCTTGGGAAACTGCCCATCACAGCTCTTGCAGTGCCACCTGCTTGGAGCAAGGTGTCCTTGAAGAGGCCGCGCAAGTCTTGAGGTAATTTTCTTTCACCTTCGCGGCTCAGGGAAGCTGTAAAGTTGGCTTGTACAGGGGGCATGATCTGCCCGCTTGCAGAGCAAGGCGGCAGCTCGTGGGGGTTGCATGGCAGGAGGTAGAAGATATTGATCACAAATCCGGACCTTCGAGAGCAACATTGAGAAACACCTCCGACCTCCCGCAGTGCTTTGACAAGGCAGAATTCACGCAGACTCGTGTGGTTTGCCGTTCCGCGCGGTGCTGGGGTGTTAAACGAGGCGGCTTTGCGTAGCTTGCTTGGGCCATCAGCCCAGCTTGCGCACCTGCGATCTGTTTGCTTGTCTCCTGAGGCTCCGAGACGAAGGCTGGTGCAAGAGAGGTATAGCAAGGCGTCATTCTACTAGGTCCTGGTTAGGCTGTTCAAGGGCTTCCTTTTCAGCTTGATGTCATTCTGCGACTTTCCAGGCAACTTGGATGGAGCATGGTAACGATCATGTCGTACTGCTTTTCCCAACTAGGTTCTGGGTTCAAGTCAAGTCAATGATCGGTCTCCCCATCGTTTCTGGCATGTCTTGACATGTTTTGATGCAACATTGAGCATGTCATTTTGTGTCGGCTGGCAAAGCTTAGAACGATGTCTTGGATATTGCAGCAAGGTGGAGGAGCTGGTTGAAGCCATCTCCCTGTTGGTGGCTGCTGCGCTAGCTGCCTGTGCCCTGGAGAGGGCTGAGGCGCTCGCCTGACGCCTCCGCAGTCTTGCCAGCCAAGGCGGAGGATTTGCCAAGAGCACGGCGGCTTTGCCTGCGATTGCTCCGCCCCTTACTTGCCTTGGACGGCAAGTCGGCGCGTTTCACTGCGAGGATTGCCCTCAGGGAGATCGACGAAGGGCCGCTCCGCCACTTGGCACTTTTGGCGTGGCTGGAGGGCTTGGGGCGCCAGCGGGCTGCGAAATTGGCAGCCGAGGGAAGCCAGCAGAAGCCCTCCCGCGTGAATCTAAGCGGAGAAGATCAGGGCAACACGGGGAACGGACATTCATGCTGGCCCTGCAAGAGAAACAATCGCATGTCGCGCATCAACCATGCGGCGCAGTCTGAGCGAATGCCAGGCTGCCATGTTTGCAGAGAGGCAGCTTTGTCATCTGCTCCCTGAGGCTTTCTGTGCTGCATGGGCTGATCTGCGCCCATGCCCGTGGTGGGGATGCAGACGGCGCCTTCGCGCTTTTAGGGTCCCTGGAGGCAGGGTGCTGGCGCAAAATCTGGATCAACTTTTCCTAGGAATCAGGAAGGAAACGCGTGCGAATGAAGGATCGTTTGCATTAAATATGATTTGCCTAGGCCCGCTCTGGCGGTTGTTTGCTTATTCAGGCTGCCCTGGACAGGCCCCTTCCTTCAGGGGCCTTCGATTTGCGCCCAGGGATTTTGAGTGTCAATTGGGCCAATCAGTGACGACAGCTCGTCAGAGGTGCTTGCTGGCAGCGGCCACTGGCCAAGTTGTTTGTTTGACTGTTGCAACTTGAGCGCTCTTTGAAGTTCTGAAGAGTGAGGCATCACTTTTGTTCGAGCAGCTATCGTTTTGAGAGAATTCGAATTAGGTGCTGTGCAGAAGATTCCGATCGAGATTTTTGAGGCCTTGATCGAAGGCGATGCGCATCTTCTCCACCCTCAGCTTCTCTCCTAGCCAACTGAAGCCAGCATGTTAAAACCCCAACGGTTTGCCATTCGTTTTCGCTTTTTTGCTTTTCTTTTCTTTTTTGGGGGGGCGGGCGGGGTTTTCTCCGCACTGGCGCCAGGCCTGGTGAGCGCCGGGCGTGCGGGAGCGGCCTTCGGCGCCTTTCAGCGCATGCGCACCTGGGCGCTAGTGGCCCGGGGCCAAAGAGTCGGGTCTCAGATTTTGTGGCTGACGCGTGGCGTGGCTTGGCTCCAAGGAGCCATCCCCAGCTCTCTACGTGCAGATGATCAAAGCCTGTGGAATCGTCAGGGACTGGAGGGGCAAGCGGCGCGGGGGTGAAGTCAACACAGCAAGCCGCATTTTTTGTGTCGTGCAGGTTCGGGAAAGGGGGGGAATGGTAGAATGCTTGACAGCGGCCGGGTGGCCACATTAGTTGTAAGTTATAAGCAGGGTGCACGCATCGCCGTTCCCGGCTCAGTCCTGATGTGCTTTGATGATCCATTGCTCCTTTCACTCCTCCGCACGTCCTCGTGGCCGTTCTAGTTCAACTCAAGGGCACCTGCTTCGGCCTGGGCCCATGAAGCTTGACAGCACGTGGCATCCGAGAACAAGGGAACAGGGCATGGCCACAGCTTGCCAAGGCTGCTCGCGCCTTCTGGCCTGCTGAGCAGCAAATGGTTTCCCGGCAGCGAGCATCAGTGCGGCTAGCTGGTTCTCCTAGTGTCAAGCGCTTCAAGTGCTCCCGGGACTGCTACTGAGGATGACTGCAGCAGGTGAAGCGCCCACAAGAGGCGGCTGCAGAGTTTCATAATGGTAATGAGACGCTTGGCCGAGCCTGGAGCAATCATTCAGCAACTTGGGCAGGCGAAACCACCATGTGATTCGTGATCGCTCATGCCGGTTGAATGGATTAGGCAGTCCCTTGCCCCCGAAATATGAGCATTTGCCTGGCGAGGTTTTTGTTTTATGGGCCTTGTTGCGTTTGTGTCCCTTCTGCTTGGCCTTGGAACGTTTGAAGTGACTCAAAATCATATGACAAAAGGTCGATTCAATTGGGCGGCTCGGCAAGGATGGCTTTGCCTTCTGCTCTTGGCCTGGCCAGCGCGGTCTGACTACGCGCCGCAAGGCTGCGGATGATGTTCAGGGGGCGACGGCGCCAGGCTTTCATTCTGTGCAGGCAAAGTCCTTGGATTCGGCTGGGCTTGGGAACTGGCTTGGGGAGAGGAACGTTGCGATGCGCGTGTGCACTTCTTGTGACAAGATGTTCTTTGGCTTACTTTAACTTCAAGTTCTGTACACGCTTGCTGATGGCTTTGCCCGTACTTGGTCCAATCCTTTGTGCAAAGTTGTTTTGCTCTCCGGCAGGCAGCGATGAAACAGTCTTTGAGGACCAGAGCAGCATGCAGCCTGATATTCTTCATGCCTGGGTGTACGTCACTTGTTTGCACCGTTCTCGCGGTTTCATGTATGCTTGCAGTTTGAGCTCCCAACATTCTGTCTGCGCATTACTTAAAGCAGCGGTGAAGTTTGTAACTGTAACTGTTCGGCTTGCTATTTAGCAAGCTAGGCGTAACACAAAGTGCTCCACTGAAACCATGAGAAAGTCGCAGCAAACTCTTGCATTTGGCACTGCCATGGTTCGTGCCGCTGCTCACTGTTGGCCGCAGGTTTCGCAACATTCCGTGTGCGTGGCTGAACAGGTTCTGACATGATGGGCCAACGCAAGGTATCTCACAGAACTTTTTGCAGTACCTTGGACTTTGCATAACTTGATCCCTCCGGCCATAGCTGTTTCAGTGTCTCCGGCGCCATGGGCAAGGACAGACCGGTGCTGCTTTCAGGAGCAGCAGAGCCCAGCCGCCTGGCCACCGTGGGGTACTGGGCTGTGGCACTGGGACACCTTTGGGTGCTGAAGGTGCATGCGGCCACTGGCGCAGAGGCCATGCTCTTCACCACCTTGGCGTTGGCCGAGGTAGCCCTCGCTGTAGAGGCAGGGGGTTTTGACTGGTTGGGCATCATGTGAAACCTGAAACTTTGGACTCTTGGTTCTGCTTCTGCGGTGCGAAAAAGGAAAAGCAAACACCGCCAGCTTTTGACTTGAGCCCAACAAACAAGCACCCCGAATCTGTCAGAAAACCATCCTGGCCACACCCACCGTAACTGGACCTCCCGCAGCTCCTTGGGGGTTTGGATTTGGATGATGTAGCGTTTCAGTGTTACACAGGCACTGCTCTCCTTTGGGTTGAACCCTGCGCTATCCAAGTTGTGTGCACCGCTTCCGTTGCTCTCGGGGTGGCCAGCACGGGCGTTTTTCTTCGTGGGGCGTGTCTTGAGGCGGCGGTGTACGGAATGGGCAGCTGGGCCCATGGGGGGCGGCTGCCGCTGTCACTGCTGACGACCCTGGGCCGCCTGCGGCTGTTGGGCGCGGCCCTTGCCTGGCCCTGGCTGCTGCCCTGGGCCGCAGAACTCGGTTGCCGCTGCCAGGCCGGCCAAGTGGGAGGGGCCAATATGGCCACAGCAAAACCAATCTGGTAGTCGAGTGGACCATGATTCTTGATGGAATGGCCGTCTATGCGAATTCCTGACCGTGTGTTTGAATGTTTGTTGTTCAGTTGCTTTTGTCCTGGGGCTTCTGCCCCAGGGATGCTGGAACAGCCGACGCAAATACATCAACGGTCAACGGGGGCTAGGTAGGCTCTTTCCCTCAGGGCACAGAGCCGCTTCTGGTGCAGTTCAGCCTTGTCGCAGCAGGCGCGGGCTTGAGATTAGACTGGGTGTGATTTTTCTTCGGTGCAGATTTGAACGGGCGAGGGATTTGGCTTGGTCCACAGGACTGCTGACGGCTTTCTACATCTGGGGCGAGCTGCAGCTCGCCATTTTCTCTCACCCTGTGGATTCCGGCTCTTCATCCGGGTCCATGGAGATGTGCCTGCCGAGCCAGACCCTTTTGGGTGGCCAGTTTCGTCTTGACAAGGCAGACCTGGAGGAGACGGGGCGTGCAGTCTTCGTGCCCGCGCAGCCGCGGCATGGTTTGTACGCAGGCGCCGGCCTGGCGCTGCTGGCGCACCTGGGCTTTGGCCTGGCCTTCAAGTTCCCCTCCTGGCTGCTGCTGGGCGCACTGGGCGCCTTGGCAGGACGCTGGTTCGGGTCCCTGCCGGTCCCCCGAAAGCTGAAGGGCAGGAAGCACGTCAACGTTTGGGGCCGGGAGGGCCCACGCCTGGTTTGCCGCGTGGGCGAGCTGCTGTGGATCGGGTGCTGCGTGCTGGAGCTGCAGAGCTGCGAGGCCTCCAGTCGGTGGCTCTCGGTGTGCCAATGAGCAGCGTGTGTCACGTGTGCCCGAGATTTCTGAACTTCTGCCCTGGCCATGTACAGAATACAGGGGGTGGGTGATGCGGCAGCTCCACAGACTGGCGCCTGCCTTTCTGAAGTTTTGTTAACGCAGTAGGTGACAGCTTCGAAGATGTAGATTGAAAGCAGGTACAAGCAGAATGCAAAAAGGGGGCACATGCCGCAGGTTGTGTGACAAGGGGTCTTCTTGCATGACCAAGTCCTTTGCTTCCACGTGGGTGCCCCCCTTGAACCCTTAATATTGGTCTTTCCCCAACCAGCTTACTGTTGGGGTTATTCCTTTTGCAAAAAAGAACGGGCCGAATGCTGCCAGATACTCGGGCCGCATGCTCGCCAGTATGCATCTACTTGTCTCCCAGTATGTGCCTTCATTTGTCTCTTGCAATAGTCCCCCAGTGCTGCCAGATCAGCCGGTCCCAGCATGTGCCTTCATTCGTCTCCAAGTGCTGCCACGCATGCTTGCCTCGCATTTACTTGTCTCCCAGCATGTGCCTTGATTTGATTCCCAGTGCTGCCAGATCTGTGCCGCATGCTATGTGCCTTCATTTGTCCCTTGCAATAGTCTCCCAGTGCTGCTAGATCGGCCGTTCGCCAGTGTACGCATGTACTTGTCTCCCAGCATGTGCCTTCATTCGTCTCCCAGTGCTGCCAGATCGCCGGGCCGCATGCTTGCCTGTATGCGCATTTACTTGTCTCCCAGTATGTGCCTGCATTTGATTCCCAGTGTTGCCAAATCTGTGCCACATGCTTGCCATACGTGCCATTTGTCTCCCAGTGCTGCCAGGCAGTGTGCGCATTTACTTGCCTCATTTGTGTAGAACGCCGGGCCGCATGCTCGCCAGTGTACACATTTGCTTGTCTCCCAGTATGTGTCTTCATTTGTCTCCAAGTTCTGCCAGATTGCCAGGCCGCGTGTTGCGCATTTGCTTGTCTCCCAGTGTGTGTGCCTTCATTGGTCTCCAGGCGCTGCCAGATGTGGGCCGCATGCTTGCCAGTGTGCGCATTTACTTGTCTCCCAGTATGTGCCTTCATCTGTGTCCCAGTGCTGCCACGCATGCGAGCTTGCCAGTGCTGCCAGATTGCCGGGCCACATGCTCGCCAGTGTGCGCATGCACTTGTCTCCCAGTAGCCTTCATTTCTCTCCCAGAGCTGCCGGATCGCCGGGTCGCACGCTTGGCAGTGTGATTGCTTGTCCCCCTCGCTGGTCCGCAGGCTTGCCAGTGTGCGCATGTGCCGTGATTTGTCTCCCAGTGCCGCCGGCTGTTTGGGCCGCCTGCGCAGAGGGTTCGCCGAGTGCAAGACACATTCGCGCGGCGCCGCAGCGAGAGCGCTTCGACACGCACGATCTCCGCAGAGGGTTCTCCGAGCTCGAGACACATTCGCACCGGCGCAGTATGTTTTGCGGATGCGTGGCAGGCGCAGCATGTTCATAAACAGGGTCTGTGAATTTCGTGGCAGGCACAGTGCTTTTGCAAGACGAAAGTGAGCCCTTTGCGGAGATCGTGCGTGTCGAAGCGCTCTCGCTGTGGCGCCGTGCGACGTTGTCTTGAGCTCGGCGAACCCTCTGCGGAGATCGTGCGTGTCGAAGCGCTCTCGCTGTGGCGCCGTGCGAATTTGTCTTGAGCTCGGCAAACCCTCTGCGGAGATCGTGCGTGTCGAAGCGCTCTCGCTGTGGCGCCGTGCGAATGTGTCTCGAGCTCGGCGAACCCTCTGCGGAGATTGTGCGTGTCGAAGCGCTCTCGCTGTGGTGCCGTGCAAATGCCTCCTGAGCACGGCGAATGCTGCGCTGGCCATGGAATTCTGCGGCCACACGCAAATTCGAAGATCGGCGCGGCGGCACAGCGAGAGCGCAGTTTTGAAGAAAGGCCCGTTTCATGCGAAGCTGTCGCACGCAAGACAACTTTTTGCGACAACTGCCATGGTTTTAGAGCTCCGATTGTCCAAGCGTCGCAGCCTGACCCGACAAGAAGATATCACCGCGTGGCGGCCCTGCCATGAAAAAAAACCGCACTTTGGTCTCAAAAAGCGCGTTTGGCACGAGGCTTCCTCAAAAACAGACCCCGCGTCGCAGCGCGAACCTCCGTGTGACATGCCCTGCCAGCAAAAATGATTTTTGCTCCAAGAAAACGCGTTTGGCACGAGGCTTCTAGCGCGCACCTCCAAACTGTTGCCCCTGCCAGAAAAAAGCGATCGGCGCCACAACGAGACGCACGCGCTGGTCCGCACCTCCATTTACTGAAGAGAACTTTACTGTTGCGCCGAAGACAACTTTTTACGCACTACCGTAAGAACCCCTTAGTGTAAACACTATTTGGGGAAAAAAAGCAGTCCCAGCCAAAACATCCGGTCAACACTACGGGGGCCGGCCCAGTATAAAAAACGGCATCTGGGGACCGTCCCAGCATAAATAACCGGTCTGCGCCACTCAGGCAGGGCGTCTGAAGGACCGTCCCAGGATAAATTTCCGGTCTAGCAGGGTATATCTGGGGTCAGGAAGAAGACGTCTTTTTGCCTAGGTCACATGGGTCTCTTAACACGTGGAAGGAGTGGCTGCCTTGAACTTGGGGTGAGGAACTAGACCACGGTTGGCCCGAAAGCATAACATCGCAAGCGAGGTCGGCCCAACGCTGCAAGATGCGTTCTTTCCCTCCACGAAGCATTTGTGAAGCAAGCGCGAGACAGCACCAGGCAAGGTGCTCTGCGCAAACTGGTCGGTGCAAGTTGGTCTACGCAAGTTGCTCTACGCAAGTTGCACTGTGCAAGTTGCTCTGCGCAAGTTGCTCCGCGCAAGTTGCTCCGGCAAGTTGGTCCCTGCAAGTGGCTCCCTGCAAGTTGCTCTGTGCAAATTGCGCTCCCTGCAAGTTGCTCTGTGCAAGCTGCTCTGCGCAAGTTGCTCTGTGCAAGTTGCTCTGCGTAAGTTGCTCTGCGCAAGTTGCTCTAGGCAAGGCGCTCTGCGCAAACTGGTCGGTGCAAGTTGGTCTGCGCAAGTTGCTCTGTGCAACTTGCTCTGCGCAAGCTCTGCGCAAGTTGCTTTAAAATGTAAGTTGCATCTTGCGACGCCCGCCCGCGGACCAGGGAGGAATCGAACCCGCGACCCGCCGGTTCCGGGAGCAGGCGCGCGAACCACGAGACAGCTCCCGAGGACCAGTACTACCACTACTACTACCACTACTACTACTACTACTACTACTACAGCTACTACTACTACAGCCACCGCCATAGGGTACTACTACTACTATTATATTACTACTACTGCTATTACTACTACTACTACTACTACTACTACTACTACTACTACTACTACTACTACTACTTCTACTTCTACTTCTACTTCTACTTCTACTTCTACTTCTACTTCTACTACTACTACTACTACTACAACTACTACTACGACTACAGCAACAAGCAACAAGCAACAAGCAACAAGCAACAAGGAACAAGGAACAAGGAACAAGGAACAAGGAACAAGCAACAAGCAACAAGCAACAAGCGACAAGCAACAAGCAACAAGCAACAAGCAACAAGCAACAAGCAACAAGCAACACGCAACACGCAACACGCAACAACACGCAACATGCAACACGCAACATGCAACACGCAACACGCAACAGGCAACAGGCAACACGCAACAGGCAACAGGCAACAGGCAACAGGCAACAGGCAACAACAGGCAACAGGCAACAAGCAACAAGCAACAGGCGTGGGCCCGGCCACCCCCTGTTTTGTTCTTGTCTGTCTCGCTCCCCGGTTTGCGCTCAGCTGTCACATCCTTCTGGCCCTTCGCTGCTCGCTCGGCGCCTTTATTTTGAGGCCACACCCGCACTTGCCCTCACCGCCGGGACGGCTGGTTTTGAGTTGGCCGACCCCAAATGCCCTGCCTCGAGCCCGTCCTTGCCTCCGACACAGGGGAAATGACGACATGTCGATGGCCGGGTGCCATCATCCAATGCGGCCAGCAACGCATGAGCGACGTTTCATGTGCTCTTTGTCGTGAGCAGCATTGGCACTCGGAGTTTGTTGACTGGTTCGCCCGCGCAACTGCAGCCACGCTCGGCGGCAAAACCAGCGGTCCCTGCTGAACACACGGCGGCTGCAGCGCCATCCCGCCCCACTCCCTCCCAGCACCATGGAGTGGCTCTGACTCTCGGCTGTCGATAAGAGTTGGCTGTTCGTGCCCTTGCTTTTGGCCGGGTGTAACACTTCAAGTCCTCGGCTGAACACGGGTGGCGTGTTGACTTGCTCCGTCGGTTTTCGTTCTTTGGCAGATGTCTGTCAAGGCCCTCCAAGGCCTGCAAGTCGCGTCCTGTGTCGGGGCTGCCGACCAGGCGTTACCTGCCGCAACCGCTGTCTTCGTCACAGGGGCCGTGCAGTCAATACATCCCGGCCACGCTCCACGTTTTGCTTGGGCGTGCTGAGGTCCGGGGCTCAAGTCCGACCTCGTGTGCCCACAAGTGGTCATGCGCCCCTTGCCCAAGCACCCGCCTTGATTCCCGCCTGCTTGGCCTCAGCTCCTTGACATGCCCAGCCCCCTGTCTCTTCGTGCTGGAGACCCCACCCATGGTTGGCAGCGGCAAGCGGCGTCTGCCATTGACCGAGTGTTCAGGGATGGTCCGCCGGAGTCCTTCCCGAAAGCACAGCCCCTTTTTCCGTCCCTGTCACTGAGAACACATGCCGATGCCATCGCCGTTTGGGCTCTGTTGGCGAGCGTGTTCAACGTCCGGGTTCTGCGGAGCCGAGCACGGGTGACTTCCAACACCCACCTAGCTGACCATCGATCGCCTGGACGACTGCCGGTTGGAAGTCGTCGCCAACGGTCCCCGTGTAGGGCGGCGCCCAGCTTGTCGTCGACGCGATATACTCTTGTGTCCCCCCGACTGCCCGCGCAAATGTGGCCCTGAGCTCCTCGGGCCGCTGCCGCTTTTTATCCGCCTCCTCGCTTGAGCTCGGGCACGGGAGGCCGCCCTTCCCTTCCGCTCCGCCAGCTGCTGCGTTCGTTGCTCGCTGGTTGGCGTTCCTGTCCTTTGCGGCTCAGCTGAGCGAGCTCCTCGCCGACTGGCTTGCCCGCCGCCCCTCCCACTCCACCGTGCCTGCTAAGCTTCCCGTAGGTGGCTAGCGTGTTGCGCCGCTTGGGCAGTCGCTAAAAAGGTGCGTGGGAGAAAAAAGTACGTTCCTTCTGTCGGCCCACAAGTGTGTCCATTGCCGGCGCACAAGAGTGTGCCGTGTTGGCGCATCATCGTACCCAGTGTCAGCGCACACAGGCGTTCTCTGTTGGCGCGCAAGCACATTCACCGTCGGTGCGCAAGAGTGTTCCTCTTGGCTCATAAGCGTATCCATTGTTGGCGCATAAAAGTGTTCGTTGTTGGCGCGTACGGTTCGCGCGCAAAAAAATGCATGATTGACGAGCCGAGCAAGCATGTTCATTTGCGAATAAGAGTGTTCACTATCGCCGCGCAAAAGTGTCCATGATGGGCTCATCGCGTTCTCGGCGCCCTTGTGGATTCACCGAACGAACACTGTAGAAGCTGAGCTAACGCTACGCTTTTTGCTTAGTGCCCCAAAGCGTAACGGGAAGCAACAGCTTTCATGGCCTGCGCCTTTTCCGAGAAAGACGCTTTTGAGATCCTGCCGTGCCAAGCATCGCGCAGAGAGCTTCCATTTGTTTGCCTAGTGTCCACAAGCGTGTTCACGGTCGGCGCGCAAGAGTAGATCCTGGTTGGCGCATAAGCCCATCCACTGTCGGCGAACAAAAGTGTCCGTTGTCAGCGCACCACAAGCGTATCCACCGTCGGCGCACTAGAGTGTTCCTCGTTCGAGCCTAAGCGTCTCCGCCGTCAAAGCTGTTCCTTGTTGACGCATAAGCGTGCCTACTGTCGGCGTGCAAGAGTGCTCCTTGTTGGCGCACAAGTGTGTTGACTGTCGGCGCTGTCGACACACAAAAGTGACGCGCAAGTGTGTTCCATGTCGGCGCACAAGAGTGTTCCTTGCCGGCGCATCATCGTAGCTAGTGTCGACGCACAAAGTGTCCCCTGTTGGCGCAGAAGCGTTCACTGGCGTTGCGCAAAAATGTTCCAACAGGAAAGCTTTTGGGCGGTCCCTTATAGTATCGGGCTAGCAGATAGAATATAATTTACTCCGTCCGATCCTCATTTAGAATATATTTTACTCCGAAAATATCCAAAAACATCAGTTAGAATATTTAGGAGCACAAGTGACACTTAGAATAATTCACGTTTGCGCAAATCCTTAAAATTCCAACACCCTTTCAGGTGGCCAGCAGGTAGAATATGCTTTGACAGATAGAATATTTCAAAAGAATCCTGTTCTGATAACAATACACTTCTCCAAGGTTTTAGACTGCCAGGACTAAATTAGTATTGCCAGAACTTAAATTAGCCTTACCAATATTTAAGATTAGTATCGCCAATACTAAATCTAGTGAAGTTTTTTTGGCTTAGAGGGGGGGGAAGCTCGAGGTCCTCCGAGCCAGGGCTAATTTTAGCACAGCTTCTGGGCAAGTTTCCATCGGGACTGACGCAGAAGAGGAGGAGCCGAACGGCACGGAGCCGGTTGAGGAGGAGCTTATCATTCAGGCGACCCAATCTTCGGGCAGCCTGGTGGTGTCCCAGGGCAGTGACTTGGTTTTGGCGGACGTCTTCCAGCTGGCATCGCAGGAGGCGGGGGGATGGCAGGGGGCTTCAGGACTTTGGGACCATATCAGGTTCCTCGAGGCCTAGATTAATCCTTGTCTGAGAAATCATCCCTTTTGGCAAGTTTCTGGTACCGAAAAGGGAAGTACAGGGAGCTCTGTTCCGAAGGGCCAGTTTGGCATGGCGAGTTCACAGACCGCGTGGTGCAACGTGCCAGTTTTGAACTTTCCCTTTCGCCCTTGCACGGCCCACCAGCTCGTATCCGGCCAGCGAAGTCGAATTGGGAGAGGTGGTCAAAAATCGGGCAACCCCAAAATGGAACCCTGGCAAATGGAAACACGGACTAGAACCTGCGGTTGGGTTAATGATGCCCAGGTGGCCTGGATGAAGCCCAGCTACTTCCGGCTGGACCTGCTGCTGGCGGAGGGCCTCAGCTTCCGGAAGCCCCTGCCGCTGCAGTGCCTCGCGGCCCGGGAGCTGAAGCAGGCGGAGAGATCGCAAAGCCTTGGGCTGGAGGTGGCAGTTGTCCGCCCAGGAGGGAGTCCACCGGGGCCGTTTTTCACAAGAAGTGGCTTTGGGGGACTGGGGGGGCGGCGGCGCCACGAGTGCGAGTGGGTGGCAATGCTTGGAGAAGGGGAAATAACCCACCTGCATGCGTTGTTCGTTTTGGATGTTTCTTTACATGTCAACAAGGGCGCTTGGGGTGGCATATTGCATCAGTTGAGTCAGGTGAACCCTGTGGAGGAGGTGGCCGATGAGGCAAGCGAGCCCAGATAGACATGGGTTGGGGAGTGCTATGAGTTGTGTGAATTTCGGTCAACTCCAGTTCTGAAGGGGGCTTGCCTTTGGAGCTGCAGAAATTTTTTTCGGGTTGGGCGAACTCACGTTGCGCTTCACCTTTGAGTGAGTTGTGCCAGTTTTTTGTTTTTGTTTTTTGAAATAATTAAATAAATAAATAAATAAATAAATATATATATTATATATATCGTTTTTATTTAGTTTCCCCGTTTGCTTTGATTCTTGGCAGGAGGTGTCCGTCTTCAGTGACGCATTGCTGCCGCAAAGAAGGCGCGAGATCCAAACAAGTGGCGCCAGCTTGGAGCTCGCAAGGCTAGCATACGCACCAGAACTGGCATGTCCCCACAGTATTGATGTTTCTTCAAGACGCTGATTTCATTCATTGACCCTCGCAATCCTGCGAAGAGGATTTCATTGTATTTGATTGCTCGGGATCAATGTCGATTTGTGACTGCTTGTGCATGAAAGCTTGGCATGCCTACTGGCCCTGGAGGCTTCAGTTGCATGCGCCGGTCGAGATACTGCAGAAGTGCCTGCAGTCCCTCACGGCGCACGTGCCGTGGAACGCCCCCATCACAGTGGACTCTCAGCTCATTTGCATTCAGGTCCTCAAAACCATGGCTGTAGGGTGCTAGGTAACGTGAGGACCCTCGGATGAAAAGGCATCTCCCAGGGAGGGAGTTGACTGAAGGCAGCTTCAGTTCCCAGCGCTGGGGTGACATGAAGGCCAAAAGCCTTTGGGTGGAGCGGCAGCGCCAGAAGGCTTGGGTTGCTGTGGGGGCCGGACCCGTGGGCCCGTGGGCCCGTGGGCCCGTTGTGGGGGATAGGCATCAAAAAAAACTTATTAGGCATAAAAAACACTTATGCTCATTCCTATGGGGGGAAGGAAGGAAGGAAGGAAGGAAGGAAGGAAAGGAAAGGAAAGGAAAGGAAAGGAAAGGAAAGGAAAGGGAAGGAAGGAAGGAAGGAAGGAAGGAAGGAAGGAAGGAAGGAAGGAAGGAAGGAAGGAAAAGGAAGAAAGGAAGGAAGGAAGGAAGGCAGGAAGGCAGGCAGGAAGGAAGGAAGGAAGGAACCCCCCCCCAACCACCCCGCTGATTTGTGGAAGGTTGACAGTGATTGACGAATCCCTTCATCGATCATCATCACCCTTTGTTGAATCATCACTTCTTCGAGCATCATGGGGGAGGCTGCCGCCCCCTCCACCCCCCCCGCTGATTTTCAAAATGTTTGCAGAGATTACCGCACCCTTTGCTAAATCATCACTTCTTCGATCATCACCACCCTTTGTTGAATCATCACTTCCTCGAACATCATGGGGGGGGCTGCCGCTCCCCCCAACCCCCCCGCTGATTTTCAGAATGTTTACACAGCCTAACGCACCCTTTGCTGAATCATCACTTCCTCGATCATCGCTCTCTTTCTTTCTTTCTTTCTTTCTTTCTTTCTTTCTTTCTTTCTTTCTTTCTTTCTTTCTTTCTTTCTTTCTTTCTTTCTCGCTCTCTCTCTCTCTCTCTCTCTCTCTCTCTCTTTGCTTTCTCCCTTTTTCTTCATGTTTATATCTCTGTATGTTTTCTTCACTGCTTGCGAAAATGCTGCGCCTGCGCCAAACTCTGCACCGTACCTTGCGAAAGTGCGCCTGCCGCGAAATTGGTACCTCTTGCGAAAAGTGCTGCGCCTGCCGCGAAATCTGGACCGCACCTTGCGAAAGTCCAGCACATGCCGCGAATCTGTACCTGACCTTGCTAAAGTGCTGCGCCTGCTGCGAAATCTGTACCTGGGGCTGCCGCCCCCCCCCCAACCACCCCGCTCATTTTCAGAATGTTTGCAGAGATTACCGCACCCTTTGCTGAATCATCACTTCTTCGATCATCACCACCCTTTGTTGAATCATCACTTCTTCGGACATCATGGGGGGGGCTGCCGCCGCCCCCAGCCCCCCTGCTGATTTGTACAATGCTTACAGAGCTTAACGCACCCCTTGTTGAATCATCACTTCCTCGAACAGCATGGGGGGGGCTGCTGCCCCCCCCCAACCCCCCCGCTGATTTTCAGAATGTGCACAAAGCTTAACGCACCCTTTGCTGAATCATCACTTCCTCGATCATCAATCTCTTTCTTTCTTTTCTTTCTTTCTTTCTTTCTTTCTTTCTTTCTTTCTTTCTTTCTTTCTTTCTTTCTCGCTCTCTCTCTCTCTCGCTCTCTCTCTTTGTTTTCTCCCTTTTTCTTCATGTTTATATCTCTGTATATTTTCTTCACTGCTTGCGAAAATGCTGCGCCTGCGTCAAACGCACCGCACCTTGCGAAAGTGCTGCGCCTGCCGCGAAATTGGTACCTCTTGCGAAAAGTGCTGCGCCTGCTGCGAAATCTGGACCGCACCTTGCGAAAGTCCAGCACCTGCCGCAAAATTGTACTTGACCTTGCTATAGTGCTGCGCCTGCTGCGAAATCTGTACCTGACCTTCCTCACCCCGCTGACTTGTAGAAGGTTGACAGTGATTAACGCACCCTTTGCTGAATCATCACTTCTTCGATCATCGCCACCCGTTGTTGAATCATCACTTCTTCGAGCATCATGGGGGGGGCTGCCACCCCCCCCAACCCTCATTTTCAGAATGTTTACAGAGATTACCGCACCCTTTCCTGAATCATCACTTCTTCACCCTTTGTTGAATCCCTTGCTGCCGCCCCCCCCAACCCCCCTGCTGATTTGCACCAATGCTTACAGACCTTAACGCGCCCCCTTGTTGAATCATCACTTCCTCGAACAGCATGGGGGGGCTGCCGCTCCCCCCAACCCCCCCGCTGATTTTCAGAATGTTTACACAGCCTAACGCACCCTTGCTGAATAATCACTTCCTCGATCATCACTCTCTTTCTTTCTTTCTTTCTTTCTTCTTTCTTTCTTTCTTTCTCGCTCTCTCTCTCTCACTCTCTCTCTCTCTCTCTCTCTCTCTCTCTCTCTCTCTCTCTCTCTCTCTCTCTCTCTCTCTCTCTCTCTCTCTCTCTCTCTCTCTCTCTCTCTCTCTCTTTTTGTTTTCTCCCTTTTTCTTCATGTTTATATCTCTGTATATTTTCTTCACTGCTTGCGAAAATTCTGCGCCTGCGCAAACGCACCGCACCTTGCGAAAGTGCTGCGCCTGCCGCAAAATTGGTACCTCTTGCGAAAGTGCTGCGCCTGCCGCGAAATCTGTACCTGACTGCGAAAGCATTGCGCTTACCTTGCGAAAGTGCTGCGCCTGCCACGAAATCTGTACCTGACCATGCGAAAGTGCTTCGCCTGCCACGAAATGAATAAGTTTGGTTTTGATCCCTTTTTTTTGATCCTCTGATTTTTCATTTTGAATAGTAAGTCAATGAGATTATTTGTTTTTGATCCCTAATAAAAGTTTTTTTGATCTTCAGAAATAAGTTTTTTGATGCCTAATAAGTTTTTTTGATTCCTCACCCCCGTTGTGGGCCGTGTGCGCAAAGCTGCATGTGTACATAATTTTGTACGTACTTACCCACATGCACACACGCGCGACAACATATACACTACGCTATTTTTCCTAGCGCTACACCATGTTGGATTGTGTTTCTTTACATGCGCCCATACGTACATGTACATGCCCACATGCATGAATGCCTGCGTAACGCACATACATGAATACATGCATGCGTGCACATATCTACACACATGTGCGGACATATGCACGTGCATGTGTACGTACATGCACACACACACACATGCACATACCCATGCGCATAGACAGACACAAACGCACGCACGCGCACACATACATACGCACAAACATACATGCATGCATGCATACGTACATACATTACATTACAGTACGGCACTTCTCACTGCACTACAATTCATTACATTGCATTGCGTTGCATGCCTACATGCATCATGCATCACGCATTTGGCATACACTACATGCATTACATACACGCAAATCAAAGTAACACAGCAAAACGCAACATAACCTACATACATACACGCATACACACATGTTTACACGCATACATGCATGCTTACACGCATGCATACAAACATAACATATCAAACAACACCACAACGCAACATAATATAGCATACACACAAAACAAAGCAAGAGACAACCGTAACATACCATCCATACATGCATACATACATACATACATGCGTACAAACTTGTTTAATTGCGCACATACATACAAACAAGCGACGGCAGGCTGGTGGGCCCGTTGCGGGCCCATGGTGGGTCCGGAGGTAGGAAAATTATCCCAAGACGAAGGTCTCTTTGCCATCCTTTGTGACTTGTTTCCTTCTGTTGGCCCCTGCGTTGATTCATGCCATCTTTCTCAGGCAGAAGATGATTTCCCGGGCCCCGACCTGATGTCCACTGTGCCCATGAACGGCTCCGTGGGTATCAACTCCTCGGCCATGGAGGCTTGGTTTGGGCTGAAGGTCTCTGATCAAGGACAAAAGGACTCAACATGCGTTAGTCGCACTTCTGCAAGTGTCAGAAGCGTCCCTCTGCTTTTGGCCAGTTGCCTTTTTCCTCATCCATGCACAGTATCCCAGCCTGATTAGGGCCGACATCAAGGCACGCTCATGCCTTGGTTGCTGCAAGCACAGGAGGCAAGGTGACCTTGGGCTTTCTGCCAATGCGCGATGTCCTCTCAAACAGATTCTTGCTGCAAATAAGGCTGCACCGCTGCACCATAGTTTTTTGTTGTGCATTGGGTTTCCAAAATGAGGCTTGCGCATTTCTTGTTTTACACAACCACAAATAGCACACAAACCAAACCAGCAAACCCAACTTTCAGCAAGGTCACTAGTCTGCACGCAGTTGGACATGGCCTCTGGTGCCTTGGGGCTCCTGTTGCTTTTGGGTTTGCTGTGGGCCAGGTGCTCCTCACCTTTAACGACTGGGTGCAGCCTGGGGAGGGTGACATCCAGATTATAGAGCCTTGGATTCCAAGTGGGCGTGTCCTTTCTCAGGGTGCCCTTTTTGGGTTTCAAAGGGGAGAAAACCCGGAAACCACCCGTCGCGGAGCTTCCTAATGTCGAGGCACCCTCGCGGGGTTTAGGCAGAAGTTGAACAAACAGCACGGACCAAGAAACCGCAGCCACTTTGTTGGTAAGGACTGCGGCTTTGATGATCTATGTGGCCAGGATGGGCGCTTTTGGTAGCTTGCATTTAGGAGTCCGTATCTTGGTAACCAGCGCAGGTTGGAACTCTTGATGACTCGGTGGTGAACATTTCCGTGCACGACACGCGCTCTGTGATCTTCTTCAAGAACCTCGTGTGGGTGAGGTATTCTGGACTTGTGGACTTGCACCAGCACCTGTTCCATGTTCCGGAGGGTTCTATCAAGGACATCTCAGGCAGGGCAACGCATAGCGTGCCTTTGAGCTTGAAATGTCCTCGGGGGGTGCCCCAAACACAACTGGGTGTAGACAAAAGCTGCAAGTTCGAAATGTGCAAGTGTAGGTCATAAACATGTTCTGTTCAAGCAAAGAGTACGCTGTGCCGAAATTGCCCGCACAGGTGAAGTCGGGCTTTGGTAGAAACAACTTGGAATGCTCAAGGTTGCCACTGGAGTCGGAGCTGCGAAGGTTCACTTTGCATGATATTTTCCAACTAAAACGCTGCCTACTGTTGAGCCAGTTCGACTTGGTGTTGCTTCGATGGCTAAGAGTTCCAGCCGGAGCTGCGAAAAGAGGGCCGTGCCTACTAAGTGCGCAGCTGAAAGTCATCAAAGTTGTGGACTGCAACAGCTTGCGTTGCCATAGGTTTTGCACATTGACGCGCGCAATTCACGATGTGGGTGGCGCGGGCTGCAAAATCACGCGTTCCCATGAATTTTCATGCGTCAACGCATGCGATCCCGCTTTCACAAAGCGGCAACTGGTTGCATATCCATTTTGCACATCAACACCTGCAATCAACATGGCGCGTGGGTTACGCAAAGAGGATTCACGATTTTTCCGCATCAGCTTGCACACTGCAGGCCCCCCCCCCCCCCCCCCCCGAAGGGTCACCGCGACACCTTCGGCATCTTGTGTTGTGACAGTTTGCGTTTCAAACTTTTGCAGCTTCCTCTTTTTGCCCAGGCTTCTTGGAGTGATCTCGTTGTACAATCCCTCGAGGCAATCTCTCTGAACCGCTTCTTCGACCTCTTTGCGCAGCTGTTTGTGCAATCCCTTTGTGCAATGGCAATGTCTTTCGCAAGGTTTCCATGCAATCTCCTCATGTAGTCCCTGTTCCCGTTCAGACTCTTTAGCCCAATCTTTGTGTGCAAGCCATGCCGGGGTATTCTTCTTGGGAATCTTTCGCCCCTCTCTTCACAATCTTTCTATTCCAATTGGCTCCGTGCATTCCCGATGTACGGGGTAAGTGACTTTACTGGGGCCAGTCAGCTTCTGTTATTTGCATATGCGCTACCTTCACGCCCTTTTTCACATGCTTTTTTTCGGGGCCGAGCATCAGGGCATGCACAGAGCTTCCGGTCTTTTCCCGGCCCTGCAAGGCGTCAGCTTCCGGGGCTTGGCAGCGGAAGACTACACTTTCCGCACCGGTCCCATTCTGGAAGGCGCGCATGGAGAGGTGAGCCGACCGGAAAGATGCAGGGAAAGAACATTGTGTTTGATCAATGAATGACATTGTCAGGTAAACTGTTGGCCCAACACATTTTCATCTCTGTCTTATATACCTTAAGGGGGCACTAGCAGGCAGTGAGAGTAACAGGCAGACTTCTTCGACAGCACCTGGAGCCTGTAGTCAATTCTTTCCCGTCGCGGAAAGGAACGTCTTCGAACAACGACTCTAACTCCACCAGCGACCCTGTTTTCACGGCTGCTCGGTTTGCAAATATCGCGGGGCTTGCACCAGTGGCCTCTCCAAGATGTGCTCCCCGGCGAGTCATGAAAATGCGAGCCGAATTTCGCTTTGGTCCGTTGATTCGAGCTGTTTCAGAAATGTCCTGTTTAGATCAGAGCCGAGGTTGAGCTGCCGCTGGAGACGAACCCATATGTCAAGTCCACCCGCCCGATATGGGCAGAAGCGGGAGCAAACCCGGTCAGACCTGAGGAGGAGACTTTATGACCCAAACATCATTTGGCTACTGGCTAGCTTGGAACTGCGGTCAGGTAGTGGTACCAGACGCTCTGTCCAGCTCTGTTCCGCTCGAATCACTTTGCCTGTATTCGGGGAAGGGTGCTTTTGCCAAAGGGAGCCCCACACTTCAGAAGCTGGGCGCGCACTTTGCACATGAGGAGCCCGACATTCCGTTCTATGTGGAGCGTTGCTACTTGAACGAGACGAACTGCAGCAGCTATAATGGCAGACGCTCGGCGCAGACATGTCATCTGAAAGTTGCTTTTGCTTGCGACGCCCACTTTTTCGTTTCAGTCGGCACCGCGCTTGTCACCTTTTGTGCCGCCCAGCACCTTGACCTGAGGCAACTGCTCGAGCTGGGAGAACGTTTCTACTCTAGGTGCCTTGGCACCGACATCGGTTCAGGCTGATTGTAGCAGACGGGATTGTGCCTCGGCCTGGAGCTCTGCAGAGTCTCCAGGGCTGCTTGCAAGCCGATCGAAACCCCAATGGCCCTGAAGCTCTCAGCCCCGCCTACTTTGGATGGACGAAATCCTGCCCCACTTTGAAACCATGGGAAACCATTTGTCTTTGGTATTTACAGGAGAATCGTCCTTCCAGGGTTTCTTAGGTGGTGCAGGATTTTGTTTACAGTATTTCGCCAGTCCCGAGGGGTGTGCGGCCTGAATGAGCGCAGCGGCATGGGCTTCCTGCCTCTGGAGCAGCTGCAGCTCTGGCGCAAGCCCTGGCACTGGCTGCAGGCGGCTGCCGATGGCAGCTCTCTGCTGGTCCAGTTGGAGGCCGAAGCACCCGAAGTGTCGACGTGTTGGCCGTGTCGCTTGGCCCCTTTTTTGCAGCCCAAGCTTCGCCATTGTGGAAGTCGTGAATGCGCGGCCTATTGGTCTTAGAAATGCCTGCTGTAGCAAGAGGTGAAGACGGCGAACTCGCCGGTCCTCATCAAAGCCAGATCTCATGCCGAGACCTTAGCAGTGGACAGAGGCACATGCAGAGGCCATGGCAAGGCCCACGAAGAGCATTGCCCAATAAGCATGTGTTGGACAGGCTATCCGTGAGAGCTGTTCACGTGGCGTCGGTATCTCTGTTCATTTGGCCTGTGCTAAGAGATGTTGAGCGTGCCGTGCCTCTCAAGCCTAAAATGGATGGCCTGTCGTCACGCAAAAAGAGGCTGACCAAAGAATGGAAGGACTTGCTAGTCACACTTCCGGGCATGCGAGATGAAAAGCTGCCGCGTTGTAGAAAGGCGCTTTTCCGTTCTTCCCAAACTGTTTTTCCCCTTTTTATATTTTATTTTATTTTTAAATGTCTTTCCCAAAAGCCTATTGGCGATGCGCATGTCGCGTATGCCTTTGTGTATGGATGTTTGTGTGTGTGTGGCATTTGTCTGCCCGCATGTGTTTGGCCAGCATCAAACTGGGCTTGGGAATGGTGGGGCGATCGTGTGGGTGCATTTTTGGTGTATATTTTGTGTATTTAGGATGTTGCTTTTAGCAATCGTTGGGGCTTTTATAGAAGTTTGCCAGCACCGCACTCCTTCAGCCTTTGTGACCGAGGTACTTTTCCATGTTTTCTCGCGTTTGCTAGCCTTGCCCTAGCTTTCTCACGCGCGTGATGTCTTTTCTTAGGGATCACGCAGGGGTGCATGCATTCTTAACGAGAGCTAGCTCATTTAGTTCCAGTGCTGCGGAAGTTCTTGTTCTCTCCCCCTCTCTCTCCCTGCTCGTGTTGGAAACCGTTTCTGGCGTTTTTACCCACCAGGCGATCCACATCTCGAACCTGCGAATGCCCCCTTAGGCCAGCTCCCTTACTCATGGGATCCCTCGTCGAGGCTTTGGAAGCGAGGCCTAGCAGATGGTCATTCCAGTGATGTAAATGGTCCATTGGCACGTCACGGAAGATTGCTGTTTGCAGATTTGCCTCACGAACCGCGACCATTGATGTCCACCAAACTAGCGTAGGTCCGTAGGTATGCAGATCTCAAACATGGACAACTTGTCCTGTGCCCATGAACAATTTTGGAACCACCGTCGGCGTCACCTCACGGTCAAAGGTGCTGAATGCCACGGCGGGCGTGGCAACCCTGCTGGCCACTCTCGAGGGGGAGGAGCCTTTCACGTTGGAGGACTGGGCAAGACGCAGTTGGGGTTCAGCTCCGGCTGGTTGACCATGGCTGGGGTTTAAGCTTCCTTCAAAGCCACCAATCTCTTGTGGCTTGTCATGTTGACCGTCAGGACGACGAAGCCACAACTTTGTACGTCGAGGTCATTCTGGAGCCATACGGGGAGATCAGCCATGGCCCCGGACTCCCCGCACGCATCGTGAGTTACTGCTTTCAGCAATCTGGGGGTGCAAGGTGTCTCACCGACTGCTTGGCGGAGGTGGGGTGGCCGGGTAAACGTGACTTTCGACTTTCCGCGGGTGCAGCCGGACTGGGGATGCTTGGCAAAGGGGCGTGTTTCTTGCTTACAATGTCAACAGCGCCCTCTACGAAGTTGAAACGGCGGGGGCTGTTTTCGCTGGGGGTTGATTCGCTCAACTCTGCCTCTCACCTTTCTGAGGATCGCTTGGGCAGGGCAACTTCTCCACTACGACGGTGGAGGGAAGACCTGCCTCGAGCCTCAACTTCCATGGCGGCCTTCAGCAGGGGCCCCAAGCGGCAAGTGGGGAGCGGCAAAATGCGATCCTCCAACTTGCGGCCGTTTTGTGGCGGGTCTGGTCTTGCTTCTGCGGCGGCGATCAAACAATCAAACAAGGACCATGCGGAATCCACATAAATCAAGGCGGACCTTGACTCATGGAGTTGTTTGGGAAGGAGGTTCCTTTAGAACAGTGTCGGAACTTGAAGGTACTTGGTGGCAGAAGTTGGGTTGATCAATGCGCTCCATCTGCTATCAGTGATCCTTGCTTAGCTTGTTTGGAGGAACTCCTGGTTTCTCGCAATTCAGAATTCGATCCACGGTTGGTGCTTGCAGTTACAACCCAAGGCAAAACGCCATTTGTGCCTTCAGCAGACTTGCAACTTTGATAGCAGTTTCATCTATTCAGAGCCCTGAGGTGGCTGAGCTGCCTTCCCGGAGTATTTTCCCATTGGTTTGTGCGCTCCTGGAAGAATCGTGGCATCGCTTCGTGCGAAGGTCGGTGCAAGCGGCGCTGGGGAACCTCACCTACACGGCGCCCAGGGACTTCCAGGGACTGGCGCTGATGAAGGTGGTGATCAGCCACCCGGTTAGGGTGGCCTGGGCGCCATGTGGTGCCCCAGGCTCGATGTTTGTCGGCATTTCTCGGCTTTGCTTAAGGACATCGTGGTAGGTCGTGATCTTAATGAAAGGATCATGCTACGGGAAGGACTGCCGGTATCAGGAATGACATGTTGTTTGACTCATGCGAGCCCTTGCCTCCGCAACTAGAAGCCTTCTGAGTTGAATCGAATGCTAGCACTGAATGCGCCGGAATCTCGAAAAGTGGCCCACTGCCCATGCCGAGAGCGCAGAGTCTGTTTTGTCAGGGCTACCGGAAGAAACGGGGTGTAGGACGGGCTTGCGGTCCCCTAGGCGATGGCGACTACCTACGAGATGAGCTGCTGCTGGTCCAAGTGGCGCCGAATCCTCAGGCTCGGGCTGTTGGGAGCTTACCTATGCCAGAGCAACCTGGAGCTTTTGACAATCCGGACCATCCCAGTGTCTCTCTCGTTTTACTTTCGGAAGGTCATGTTGGTTTGTGTCTTCTCCGAAAAGAGAGGCATGCAGCTTAGTATTTGAGCTTGCAGGGCAAGTAGTGGCTGACGGCTCAGGAGTGGGGCAGGGGGCGCGGCATCGTTTCGGTCCTAGGTTTCGACTCGTTTCGGTCCTGGTTTCCGGAATCAGACCCAGATGGGTTTCGGTCCTGGTTGGATTCTCGTTTCGGTCCTAGTGTTTGCTCGTTTCGGTCCTGGTTCTTCGGTCGTCCTACACCGGTCCCAGAAACATGTTTGGTTGGTCTGATAGCTCTGATTTGGCAGGTTGCCTCACTAGAACCAAAATGATGTCGCCACGTTGTGTAACCACGACCAAGATGAGCCAAAACCAGGACCAGGCTGCCGCTCGGCATGGCGCCCCAAGACCTCTCGCCATTCTTGCCCGGGCTATGCAGGGTTGACACCAGCAGAAAGCATGGGTGAAAGGAAAGAAAGGAAGCTTGGGCACAGTGGGGCTCGACAGGTAGGTGTTGTGCAGGTTATCGGGCAATTTGGCATGACATGAGCCGAGTCGCGTTCGCAGGCTCCTGCAGCTGTGGGCGTGCCTGGCAACGTTGCGAAGCTCCGACGCAACTAGAGAGTCCTCGGTTCGAAAGCCGGTGTTGCATACATGGGTTTGGAGGGAGGTTTGCCGTCAAGCATGTTTTGCTGTAGCATTGGATGCTGTGAGAACAGCACTGGGTGAAGCAAGGTGGGGCAGGTGTGGGGATTCGTGCGGTTGCTTTGCTGAGATCTATCCCGAGCATTCTGACACTGTACAACTTCTCCTCCACCGCAGCTGCTCGGCCAAGAACGACCAGATGCAAACTAGTTTTCCCTCACGGGAGGCGCTGGACAGGCTTCACTTTTCCAAGGATTGAGTTTTTTCCAGGGTCTTTGGGTTTGGTGCAGGCCCATTTGCCAAGAAGCAATCGGTCCAGCCAATCCAGTCGGCCGTTTTTTCAGGAAATGGAGCCGCAGGTCAGTTTACGCCACGGGGGTGCCCAGACGGCAATGGCCAACACGGCCCACCATGTGAATGTGACTGTGGTGGCAGATCTGGACTCCGAGGCTGGGGGAGCTGTGAGGGCATTCCACATGGAAGCTGAGAGGAAGCACGGCTCCCGGCCAGGATTCTGCGCGGGTGTATGTGAAGGCGCCGTTTGGGCAGCTCAGCTTCCCGGAGCTGGACGCCATCATGGACGAGGCGGGCCCTGGCTTGACGGAGTTCTTCGCGGACGGGGAGTACGACGCCACGGAGGCGGAGTTTGTGTCGAAGGCCTCAGCCCGGGATGGCGTGTGGCCCCGGATCTCGGCGTACGAGTCCCCGGTGGGCGCCGGCTTCACCGTGGTGGGGACGGTGGCGGCGCTGAATCGGGTGCTCGGGCAGCTCCAGTTCACGCCCCCCGCAGATTCCCCCAACTCAGGGTCCCTGGAGGTGAGCTTGCTGCGGACGCCTTCGGTGGAGGAGTATGAAACAACGTTTCCCCTGGACGATGGCCCAGTAGCAGTTGGCAATTTGGCGGTGGAGATCGGGGCCCTGTCCAAATCCCAATACACCTGCTTCATTGGGGGTCCAGCGGCCACCTTTGTGAACCTGGGCGAGGATGCGCGGAACCTGGGTGTGACGGTTGAGCCGGAGGTTTCGGCTTCTGCCAAAGTCACAACTGCCATTGCTGATGAGCTGCATGAGTTCCGCGTGTCTGTGCAGCGGGGGAGCGTCAGCCTGGATGTCAACAAGTTTCCAGCTGCCCGTATTTGTCCACCATTCTTTCCCGACGTGGGAGGCTGCGCTGTGGACGAGGCTGATGCTTGGGTGATCTATGGACGGATTGCAGATGCTGCGCTGGCGATAGAGTCCTTAGTCTACACAGGCCCATATGGGTATTCTGGCCAGGATCGCATGCGCATCACTGGAAGCTGCTCAGAGGTGGGTTTAGACACTTAGATGCAGAAGGGTGCGATTGCGGGTTTGACGGCCTAGAGACTCACCTGGAGACATTTGAATCACGCTGCGTTCTGAGTACAGGTGCCGTGGTACGGCAGGTGTGATGTGACTCGCCAGGAAGTGCTACTGAACATCATCAAGAGCTACCTGCCTCCCGCGATCCGCTGTTGCGAGGACTCAGGGATGGAGGCTCGAGCGCTGTCCGAAGCGAGCGGGATTACCGGCGCGGCGCTGGCTGCAGGTTCACCAGGGCGTGGAGCCTGCCGCAGTTCCCCCCTGCGCCCTGGACAACAACGTGCCCTGGCCGCATCTGAGAATGCCTTTGCCTTATGGGACTTGTGGCATGCGGACTGCCTTGTCAAAGCACCAACTCCGAGACAGGAAACAGGTGCTGGAGCTCAGCTGCATGGCTGAAACGGGTGTCCCAGGCCTATGGCGAGATCCCTTCAGTGGCACAGGTGACGTACAGCAGCGATATCGGGCAGCTTGCCTTTTGGCCAGTCGAAGGCTGGTGACGGCCATGTTCCCGATTTCTGTACACAATTGCGTATTTAGGCAAGTGACCCCAACAGTGTTAAGGAATGATTAACAAATTTGAGAGACAGGAATCCAATCAAAGAACATGCCTTTGTAATTTCGTGAAATGAACACAGGCTCTTTATAGAATGTCTTGCATGTGCCCTCACTTCGGGGAAGGAAAACGGCATCTTGCAAAAAACATTCAGGTCCCAGCAGTTCCATTTTGAATCAGGTGTCGAGAAGGCAAATGCTGGTGCTCTTTGTTTTGAGCATATTCGTTTGCGTTCCGAAATGCGAATGTGGCTGTCTAGGGCGGCCCGAGAGGCCCAAAAAAACACCCACACCTTGCGACAGTGTGGAAAAATCGTAGCTCAGACAAGCTACTAGTCAACCCCAGTTTATTACTAGGGGGTGTTCTCCTCCAAATGTGATATATCCCCACTAAACCCAGGGACGCCCACGACTTGCAGCCCTCTTTCCAATGATCGGAGTGGACATGAGTTTGCAAGAACGGGGTAGGAGGATTGCGCATTGGCACCGAGATGGCTTACCCGTCTTTCTTTTTTTGGGGGTTATTTTGGTGGAACATAGGCGGCCCTGGTTAAAAGGGACACCTATGCACCTATGCTCCTCATCAACATGGAACTTTGTTCTGAATGAAATGCGTCAAGATGGCGCAAAACAACCGCAGCCAGCGCCCATGTGGCCCTGGCAGGCCTGTACTTTGACCGCGGTATGGAAGCCTCTCCTATGCACAATGTCTCCTCACAGATCGTGGCAGCTTGGCTTATGAAGGTTCTATCGCGGGGGCCTCAACTTGGCAAGGCATTTGAGGAAAGGGTCCAAGGGAAGGTCAGTGCGCGCGGCGCAAGGCCAGCGGCCCCGGGGAGGTGATGCGCCGGAACCTGGGCTCGAAGTTGGCGCTGCTCCACATCCCAGAGACGGAGACGCGGCTCTTCGGGCGCCTGGTGCTTGAGGCACCCCCGGTGGGGGGTGGTGACAGGTAGTGGGGGCTGTGGAAGTGGGTGGGGAGCCTCGCAGGGTTGGCAAAGGGCAAGTTTGCGGCTAATGAACTTGATCGAGGCAAGGTAACAGGCACCAGCCACCACAGCGGCTTTGGGTGGGGGCAGGCCTGGGGCGCTAGACACGCATTGCCAGTCGGAAGAGTGTTTTGTGCATCAGGCCGCTTGGCTGTGATGCCTGTATGTCCAACTTGCAGCACAACGGAGCGAGAGAAGCCTCAGCATGACCACACGTAACATGTTAACATTTCTGCATCACCAAAGTCCTCAGCGCAGGTTCTGGATGTACGGTCCGGGCTGTCCTCGACCGCAAGCTGTCCCATCCAGGTTATCCCTGGGAGGAGGGGCTAAATTGGCTGCGCAAGTGCAGGAACTTCAAATAGATCCCAGTCTCAGCGTGCCGTCCAAAGTTGGTTTGCCGTTTGGTCAGCTCCCATCAGGTTCAGGTTCAAGACCTGGTTTGGGAAATCACTTTTTCTTGAAGTGTCTGGAGGATGGAGTACCATGACATGCCGGTGCCTGCTGATGACACCACTACCGACCAGGACGCGTACCATACTCTGCTCCTTCCAACAAAACTTTGCTCCAAAAGTGGCATGTTGCGTGTGCTGCTGGTGAGGATTCCGGTATGCAGAACAGCACGGAGAAGGATGCGATGGTAGAACAGGCGGGCATCGAATGAGCTGTGAGCAACTAGTTCGGAAGGTGTTGAGGTCAACCTCGGCCATGCAGAACTTGCTCGCTTGTTTATTTTTTGCCATGGATGGCTCGGCTGTTGATGGCTGTAGCTTGCTGCTTAGCATGCCGAGTCTCAAGCTACTTCTAGATACTGGTTCTGACTTCCACGAAAGCGTTTCTAGATCGGCAGTCATTCAATCATTTTGCGATGTTGCGCGGCTTCCATGTTTCGTTGGTTCTGTTTATGTCAAGCTCAGCCATCACCACATAGCCATGCCAAGAACATGCGTTGTTCCAAAACCAGCCTTGTCCCCACTGTCATGCAAATCAGGTTGGGGGGGCGCCCCGGCCAAGGGGCCTCGGCAGATAGACCTTGATGAAGGCCCATGAGACGTGTTTCAGTAGTGCTCCCTTTTTCCTTTTTTCCCCAACAGCTGACAACTTTGGGGTCTCAGCCCAGATAGGCTCCGGGGTGGTCCGGGGCGGCCCTGAGGTAAGGTTCCACGAGGGTTCCACCAGGGTTCCACCAGGGTTCCACCAGGGTTCCACCAGGGTTCCACCAGGTTCTGCGAGGGTTCCACGAGGTTCTGCGAGGGCTGCGGGGTGGTGATCACTAAAAAGAGCACTGCATGCTGTTGGGGATATCACCTGAGCTTATTTTCTCCCCCAACAGCTGAAAGCTTTGCGGTCTCAGCCCAGATAGGCTCCGGGGTGGTCCGGGGCGGCCCCGAGGTAAGGTTCCACGAGGGTTCCACCAGGGTTCCACCAGGGTTCCACCAGATTTCCACAAGGTTCTGCGAGGGCTGCGGGGTGGTTTGAGGTAAGGTTTCACGAGGGTTCCACCAGGGTTCTCCACCAGGTTCTGCGAGGGCTGCTGGGTGGTCCGGGTGATTTGAGGTAAGGTTCAACGAGGGTTCCACAAGCGTTCCACCAGGGTTCCACCAGGTTTCCACCAGGTTCTGCAAGGGCTGGGGTTGTCCGGAATGGTTTGAGGTAAGGTTCCACGAGGGTTCCACCAGGGTTCCACAAGGGTTGCACCAGGTTTCCACCCCAGGTTCTTCCACAAGCTTCCACCACAGTTCCAGCAGGGTTCCACCGTTGTTTTGAGGTAAGGTTCCACGAGAGTTCCACCAAAGTTCCAGGCAGGGTTTTACCAGGTTCTGCAAGGGCTGCGGGGTGGTCCGGGTGGTTTGATTTTATGCAAGCTGTGGGTGGTGCGGGTGCTTTGTGGTTTGGTTCCACGAGGGTTCCACCAGGGTTCCACCAGGTACTGCGAGGGCTGCGGGGTGGTCCGTGGTTGAGGTAAGGTTCCACGAGGTTCCACCAAATTTCCACCAGGGTTCCACCAGGGTTTCACCAGAGTTCCACCAGTGGCGTGGTCCGGGGCGAGGTAAAGGTTCCACCAGGTCCACAAGGTTTTATCAGGGTTCCACCAGGGTTAATCCACCAGCTTCTGCAAGCGCATGATAGACCAAGTCATCGCAGACCCAAAAAAAACTGGGAGAACCGTTGCAGCGTAAAATGACTGGAAATGAGAAACATGCCAGCGGGCTGCGGGGTGGTCCGGGATGGTTTGAGGGGTTCCACGAGGGTTCCACCAATGTTCACTTGGGCCTATCAGGGTTCCACCACCAAGTTCCCTCAATTTCTGAAAGCTAAGGTTGCATGAAGTTTCACCAGGGTGTTAAAAGGTTCGACGAGGTTCTGCGAGGGATGCGGGATGAGGTTTCACAGGGTTGCACAGAGTTCCGCAAGGATTCTACAAGGGTTCCAGAAATGTTCTGCAAGGTTCCGTGGTTTGCCCTGGAGAGAAGCAGTGTGTCGTGCGCCCGCCGTCTGAAAAGCCATCGGAGCAGAAAATTGAGGGCTCCTGGGCGGAACACTAAGTAAAACCGAAATCAATGGTTTTCAGCACACTTTCGCTGTTTTGTCACTTGCTCGCTTGCTCAGGCAACGCGGCGCGAAATGTTGGCTTTCTGGCAAATCAGATCACGTTGCTGCAGGAGGCTGCAAGGGCTATGGGGTAAGGTTCCAAAAACGCTCCACGAGGTTTGCGCAGGTTCAGCAACAGCTATGGGGCAGCCCTGAGGCAAGGTTCCAACAACAACGCTTCACGCTGAGTTCCACGAGAGTTCCACGAGGATGATTTGCGAGGTTCACCGGGCCCAGATCAATTGCACCGTCGGGGCCCGATTGCACCGTCGGGGCCCGATTGCGCCGTCACGGGGCCCGGTCGGCCCCGCTTGCGCCATCGCGCCCTGATCGCACCCTCAACTCAGCCAAGCCCCGTCAACTGTACCAAGCTGGCTTTTGCTAGATACAGTTGTAAGGCCGCATCCTAAACCCGCGTTGAGCTATGAATGGGTGGCTGGGGTTGCATTACGGGACCATGGGTCCCGGGCCCCAATTGCACCGTCGAGCCCCAATCGCGCCCCCCGCTCGGGCCGCGATCGGGCCCCGATCAGGCCCCGATTGCACCGTCGGCCCCGATCAGGCCCCGATTGCAGTTTGGGCCGCGACTGCACCATCAGATCCGACGATTGGGCTTTGATTGCACCGTCGGGCCCCGATCATGCCTTGATTGACGATTGGGCCCCGATTGCACCGTCGGGCCTCGACCCCGATTATGATTGCAGCGTCGGGCCGCGATTGGGCTGCGATTGTGCCGTCAGGCCGGATCCCACTCAGGCCGCACCGTCAGGCCCCCCGATTGCACTCAGGCCCCGATCGGGCACCATCGGGCCTTGGCTCGGGCCCTGACCGCGCCCCGATTGCACCGTCGGGCCCCGATCGGGCCCCGATTGCACCGTCGTGCGCCGTCGGGCCCCGATCGGGCCCCGATTGCGCCGTCGGGCCCCGATCAGCTGTGCTTTATAAAGTTACAAGGCGGCATCCACAGCAACACCGGCGGTGAGGTGTCGGGGCGTTCCGCGAGGATTCTGGGAGGGTGTGGTGCTGTTGGGGATATCGCCTGAGCTTACTTTTTTGTTCTCTTTTTTCCGTGAGTGAAGCGCCATTGGGGAGCGGCTTGGGGGACATCTGGTTGAAGCGCACGTCGTCCCAGCCCCTCTCAGGCGGTTTCCACCGCGCCGGTGGTGCAGCTCCGGGTGCTCAGCGCCTCCGCCGTGGTGGAGGCGGCGGGCTCGGTGTATCTGGCGGCGCTGGCGCTGGCCGCGGACGCGGAGCGGGGGCTCAATGCGGTGGAGGGCTGCCTGGCAGTCGGGGGAGGTTTCCGAGGTTTTTGAGGAGGGGGGGAGTGGGGGGGCCCCGGGGTGGGGGTGAGGTCGCGCTTGGAAAGGAGAGAGGGGGCTCTCTTTGTTTGTGGGAAAACTGCCCTTGTCCTGTTAGCATTGTGCCTTGGCGCGTAGGCATACTTTTGCGCATGCCCGGCCTTGGATCAAGGTGACTTGGAAGTTTGGCTTTCCAGCGGCCAGGGCGTGCTGGAGATTGACGTGGCTTCTTGGTTGCACTTAGATGCTGGTGGCCAACGAGTTTGGCAAGCTTGGCTTGCAGTGTCCCATGTCGAGCTGCCGTGCACACAAGCTGCGAGAGGAACATGTTATGCCAAGGCAGCTTTGGTTGGATCCAACAGCGCCTACCTGGCAGACGCGAGCGGCGGGTCGCTGACCACCTCAAAGCTTGAACAGGCTTGTGGGCCTTGGGTCAGCCATACTTGACTCACAGAAGCTGTATTGGGGGTCTTGTAAGGTGGCCCGGCCACAGAGATTCCGTGCGCGCGCGGCCTTGCGACGCCAGGACCAAGTGGCGGAATCTGGTATGGCAATGGGTGGACAGCCTTTCCGACACCTGGCTTGAGAGGGATACAGTCATTGCCTTGTTCCTGCCAAGGGTCTCCCCTCCTTGGTGACAGCATGCGTCAGTGTTGTCCAGCATTTTGCTTGATCTTTGCTCGATCGCCAGCCCCAATCTTGGGACCGGCGTGTGACTCAGGGCGAAACACGCACAGCGCAATGCTTGCTCAGGCGTTCCATCTGCCAACTCTCGCTTGGCCTACGTGGACCCCTCGCGGCCTGTGGACCCGGAGAACCGGACCCTCCTCGACCCAAGAGGCCCTTGGGCGCAGGGCCAGTTTGTTTATGCCCAGCACCAAAGTCTGCTTGCACGGGGGCTGCTTTTAGACTAATATCAGCCGTGGTTCAGCAAGCACTCTGCGCCATGGTCCGTTCCCTTGGGTGGCTTCCAAGGAAAGCCAAACAAAGCTCCTTCCAAGCCCCCAAAGTCTCAACATGGCGCTGTAGGGCCTCAGCGGCCATCGCGGGTGCTGTGGAGTGGGCGGAGCCTGCAGCTGAGAGGCGGGCCTCGAAAGCCGAAACTCCAAGGGGAAAAGGTCCTTTGGCGGCCGCTCCAATACTTCAATGAGCACATACTTGGCTTCCTGTCACTCCTGACTAGCGCTTGAAAATCGGACTTCCACCCAGAATTCAAGCGTCTCAACATGCTTTGTGTAAGCGCCCCTAGGCTCGGCGGTGAACTTGCACCAGACGCTGAGCAGCGTGAAGTACACCGCCGATGAGCAAGCTGGCGGGTGGGACACCGTGACGGTGACAATGGGCCGGCAGAAAGGGGAGGTGCCGGTGTACATCATCCGCCGGGCCGGGGCTGTGGTGCTCAAGGGCCGGCCCTTGGAGCGGCTGACCGTGGGCCAAATCCTCAAGCCGGATATCCGCCTGGAGCTGAGCCCGCTGGTGCGCGCAGAGGATACCTTCAGCGCGTCGCCTGGGCCGAATTGGGTGCAGGGAGCCAAACATACGCCAGATGGTTGGAATGAGCATCGCATCTCAGGTTGGTTGCTTGCAGCCACTGTGGCCTAGCACTTTGGATGTATGCGAATAAGATGGAGGCAGGGTCCGCTGGGCGGGTGTTGGGAAGGATTCGGAACTTAGAGTTTGCAGGTGATTAGCTCGTCCTTGGAGTTTGCTGGCAACACCTCGGAGCTAGAAGTGTCTTGGCTCGGGCGGTGTGGTTCTCAAGCTGTGATGTTTTCTGGGGCCCATTTCGATGTTCACGTTCCTTGGGCGGTCTTTCTTCGTGCGAGTGCGAAGCCGAGGCGTTCTTGGCGGATTTGACCTACGTGCCGGAGGAGGGCTTCACGGGCACCGACTGGCTGCAGGTCTTCGTGCAGGGGGGTCGCCTGCAGGCGGCCAGCCAGGTGGCGTCCAGCGCGGAGCTGGGCATGGCCGTGTCGGTGGAGCAGGTGGAGAAGGTGGTGCCACCTGCGGCGGTGCTCATGCCCGAGCGCTTCAGCATCTTCGAAGACTCAGCGCCCCACACGCAGAGAGGGAGAGAGAGAGAGAGGCAAAAGGGAACAGCAGGAGAAAGATAAAAATATTCAGCATCTTCTTGGACCGTTCCGGAACGTCACGAGAGCTAGCTGTGCTTGAGGAAGTTCTCGAAGCTTTTAGAGTGTTCTGGGGGCTGATCTTCTCAAAATGTCCGATTTCATCAGGGTTTGGGGTGCAAAATGCTGAATCGCGCGAACCGGTTCTTTCCTTGGAGGACCCCTCTACCCAATGGCTCAAATCCCAGACTCTCCGCCGCAAACCGCCGCCAACCGCCGCCAACCGCCGCCAACCGCCGCCAACAGCTGCCAACAGCCGCCAGTCCGTTTGTTTCTGCTATTTTTGCCACCGGCTTTGCTCCTCAGTCCTCCGCTCTTGTGCTTTTTTATGTTTTTGTCCTCTCCCCCTTTTCTTCATGCCTTTCGCCTCCATAAAACTGTTTCCACACTCTTCTTGCCGCTCTTCGCTTCCTGTTCTCCTCGCTCTTGTGCTCGCATTTTTCCCCTGCGCCTTGCTTGCTTTTTGCTGGCTCAGGCGCTGCAGGCTGCACATTACACAGAGCTTTGCCAGCTTTCGTCCACAAGCTCTCGAGTTTTATCGGGTCACCGAGGCCACCGACCCTCAGATCCAGATCCGCGTGGCGATGGTTGCGGCAGAGCCCTCTGACGTGGACGACGACACAGACTGCCTCAATGCGAGTGAGGCAGACATGTGGCTGCCGCAGGTGGGGTCCCTGGGAACGCGCGCGGGGTTATGGAAAGCCCTAGAACCCGTTCCCTTGCAGTTCACAACTTGCGGATTCAGCGACAGAGCGGGGCGTATTTCCTTTAAAGGGCCTGGCGTGTAGGTTTGGTGCCCTCTCTTGGGCCTCCCGTCAGATCTCAGCTCACCGCGCCGACAGCTGTCGGTGGTGCCATACTCTGAGGACCCGCTCGCACTGCGCGGCTCCGTGCAGTTGGGAAGCTTCGCCCTGGAGAGCCTCGGAAGAATGGCCGAGTGTCCACGTTGAGGGTGCTTCTGAAAACCATGGTCGAAGCCAGTGAGAAATTATGGGAAGCCAACTAAAAGTCGATTCTGTTTTGTTCAGCGCTGCGGCCCTTCCGCATCATGGAAGATGTGAGACTTGAAGATGTTTTGCCTTTGCAAGACTAGAAGTACTTTGTCATTCGACAACCCTTTTTGGCCATCCCTAGGCCAAGGCCAAGCTTTTCGAATTGTTTTGGTTCCGTCAGTGGTTCTACTGGTGGGGGTCTTGTCACAAACCCCGGGAAAGTCTGGCGCGCAACCCTTAGTGACCGGCGCCAGGGGTATCAGCTCCATGCCGCGGCTGCGTACAATGACCTCTTGCCCGGATGAGCTGGCAGGGGACCAAGGACTTCAAGCGGATTGATTTGCTCAGTTCGACAGGGTTGCTTGAGACCAAAGTGTTCCTCATATGGAGGGGGGGCTTGCATGGTCAGGCATTTTAAAGGGAAGGCGCACTCATCCTGCGTCACCTGCAGGACATGCGACGGATGGCCACGAGCAATTGCCCCTTGGCCTTTTGCAGCATGTTTGCGGCCGCTGTGGTGGGACTGAAGTCCTGGACGGTGCCGCATCTCCTAAAAGCAGAAAGCTGGGAAAGCAAAGGTGTGTTGTGTTCTTGCATCCCTGTGACATTGTCGGATGTTGGCTGCGCAAGATGGTCCGCGCAGCAGTTGGACGGCATGCCTGCAAAGAAGGGTAAAAGAAACCTTGAAGCAGCCTCACATCGGCTGCATGTTGCGTTGTTGCGGGGCCGGCGCACGTTTTTGCAGCTTGGCCAGTTCCGCATTTGTGGTGTGTGTGTGTGTGCGCGCTTGTGCGCGCTTGTGTGTGCTTGTGTGTGCTTGTGTGTGCTTGTGTGTGCTTGTGTGTGCTTGTGTGTGCTTGTGTGTGTTTGCTTGTGTGTCTTTGTGTGTGTTTGTGTCTTTGTGTCTTTGTGTGTGTGTGGGGGAAGCCACATTTCCCTTGCGGGTGGGGATGCCCGACGGAAACGATTGGAGGCAAACGTTCGCGCAGCTGGTGGACGGCCAGCAGGTGGCCCAGTTTTGCGTGAAGGGCCATCCCCTGGCGCTCTCGGAATTCGCATCCCGGCTGCGCTACCAGCCGGCGCAGCACTGGGCTGGCAGCGAGCCCATGAGGAGAGCAAGGGTTCAGTTGCGGCGGGAATGGGGCTTGGTGTCGGTTGACGGTGGGGCTGATGGACTGCGGGGTTTGTTACCTTGCAATCATTGGGAGGTGATTTTGCAAAATGTGTGCGCGAGTTTAGCCCCATGCCTTGCTTTGTCATGCTTGCTGTTCTCTCTCCCCTTGCAAGGCATTCTTGCATGAAGGCGGGGGGGGGGGTCTTGGATGGAGCTTGTTTCGGATGCTGGTGGCCTCAAGGGACTAGCGGCTCACTTGTGACGAACTTACGACTCACTTGCAACGAATTTGTTGTCAGAGGAGTGGTTAGCGCACCCGCTCGCTCCACTGAGCGGAACCGCAAACAGGCCTGCCAAACGAAAAGCCCACCCTCTCAACTGCGTCCGTGCAGCACAGCACGCTACGGCTGCTGAAGAAGATGCAGCGCTTTTCCTGCGCAGTGATCATGGACATATCACCCTGCCAGGGTCGGAACCTTCCTAGTCGTTAGCGAGAAAGAACGTCACAAGCGGACTGCTTTTGAGTGACAAGGGGCGTCGGCGCCTGGCTACATCACTGTCGGTCAAAACCAGGTCGGCCCTTGGGCCTTGGTTGCCGGTTGTCTTTGGGTCCGACATGGTAATTTTGCAATCCGATCAGATTGCTTTGCATGGCAGGGATTCGCATAGGATTACTCTCACTGCGGCGGATGATGCACACGTGGTGCACGCGGCTGCTCAGAGCTGGGTCCTGGTGCAGAGCGCCAACGACCCCCCCAGCATCACAGCCATCCAGCCGGCTTTTGAGGCGCTCCACCACGCTCAAAGGGTCTCTAGGTCACCTATTCGAAAAAGATACATAATGCCTTGCATTGCTTTCAAGTGTGAGAAGTGACCCAGTGGGGAGGGCGGGGAACAAATCTCGTGCAGAAAGCTGGCGGCTGACCAGGTGCAGATTGGAAACAGCGTCCAGTTGGCGGGCATCAATATCTCTGATGCAGACATGAGCGACACAACCCGATGGATGACGTTGTCAGTGGCTGCTTCCATTGGCCGCAGCTTGCTTTCTTGAAAGCTCAGGCATGCCTTTGGGAGAGGGGGATTTTTGCACTAGGACAGAATTCAAGGAGGTGTGTTTTATACTTTTGCACGCTAGCCGGCCACATGCGACCCCATACGTGACTAAACCATGCTGTATCTCACATTTGGGCGCGGCTGACCCTTGCCCTGCCTTCTCGGCTGAAACCGTTATTAAGGCCTTGGGTGGTGACATGCAAAGACAGCCGACGGGCATGTAGGAACGACACAAAAATACGTAACAAAACACCCTGATGTTCCTTGAATCTTTCCTGTGGGGGGGTTATGAGGACTCTTTCCCTCTGTAAGGTCTCTATGTGGAGGACTCCTTTTTGCTGGCCCCCACCGGCACAGTGGAGCCCCTCAGCGGGCGCTTGGACGGGGACTTCTCTCTGCGCGTCCAGGGCAGCGGCCCGGACCTACAGGCCTTCGTGGAGAAGTTGCGACCCTTGGCGCGGGTTTTGCGGAGCCGCAGCTAGTAAGTCGCCAGCTTGTCAAAATTTTACCGGTATGCTGAGGATTGTCACCAGTTGCCGGTTTGAGTTTGTGTCCAACAGTTTGTGAGCAAACTAGACGGCTTCGCTTTGCGTCGGCATGCGGCCAAGGCTTCAGCATGTCAGCGCCGCCTAAGCCGTACCTGGCACCCCGCCCGCTGGATCAGCCTGAGACAGAGGCAGAGAGAGTGAGAGAGTCACTGCCGGCACTGCCTCGAGTGCCTGGAATCAACATGCACAATGTTCACGGCTGTTCCGACCGCAAGCATCCAGTTTACAGCTGGCTTTGGTTTGGTCCCTGTCTATGCCCAAGCCCCAGAGAAGGCGCCTCCTCGTTTGCAAGAGTGAGCGAGCGCCCTTTGCCTTGCAGCAACAAACTGCGTTTGGAGTGTGGCTTCAAACCGCATGGCAGTTTGGTAGTCCGGAAGATGGCCGCTTCACTACATATGTTTTTCGTCACAGTGACGCACATGAGCTCTTGGCAATCCGAAAGGCCATCACATCCCTTCCATGTTTTCGTCTTTTGCTTGGTCAGGCCATCATCTCCTACATCCTCTCGGACACCCTCGGGCCGCAAGCAGCGGCGCTGCGGCGGCACCAGGTGGCTGGCAAGGTGGTGAACCCCCAAACGGACGAGCCTGTGGCGGGGGTGGACGTGCTGCTTCTGGCTGCCCGGATGCAAAGGGGATATGCGACAGGCGTGCTTGCCTGGAAACGTGTGCTGCTAACCTAACTCATAAGCCCTGATTGATTCGAGGTGGTGTCCCAATCGTGAGGGTCTCCTTCCTTTTTTCTTTTCCCGAAAGCATGGCGAAGGGTTCTTCCGTGCGGAGCTCTTGGTCAACTTGCGCAGAGTAGCTTGCACAGAGTCACCAGCATGGAGATATCAGGAGCTCTTGGTCAACTTGCGCAGAGTAGCTTGCACAGAGTCACCAGCATGGAGATACCAGCATGGAGATACTCGCACAGAGTTACTAGCACAGAGTAGCTAGCGCAGAATTACCAGCATGGAGATACTCGCAGAGTCACCAGCATGGAGATACCAGCATGGAGATACTTGCACAGAGTCACCAACATGGAGATACTTGCACAGAGGCACCAGCATGGAGTCACCAGCATAGAGTTACTTGCGCAGAGCCAAGTGCAAAGAGCCAAGCGCATAGAGCCAAGTGCTCAGAGCGAAGTGCAAAGAGCGAGGTGCAAGGAGGCAAGTGCACAGAGCTAAGTGCACAGAGCCAAGTGCAAAGAGCGAAGTGCATCGAGCCAGGTGCATAGAGCCAAGTGCAAAGAGCTAGGTGCATAGAGCTAAGCTAAGCTAGGTGCAGAGGCTCGGCGTTAGCAGCTGTGTAAGCTAGGTTAAGTAAGTTAGGTTAAGTACTTAACGCGCGGGGAAGAAAGAGAAAGAGCTCGGTATTAAGAATCTCTTTTAAGGCGGGGGGTGGGGATGTTGCCGACTATCGGGAATGCGACCCTCTGCGGAGATCGGCGTGGTCGAGGTGCCAAAACTCGAGGTTTTTTGCGTTTTTTGATATGCCCGAGCGACCCTCTGCGGAGATCGGCGTGGTCGAGGTGCAAAGACTCGAGGTTTTTTTTTGCGTTTTTGACATTCCCGCGCGACCCTCTGTGGAGATCGGCGTGGTCGAGGTGCAAAAACTCGAGGCTTTTTGCGTTTTTTGGACATTCCCGCGCGACCCTCTGCGGAGATCGGCGTGGTCGAGGTGCAAAAACTCGAGGTTTTTTGCGTTTTTTCATATGCCCGCGCAACCCTCTGCGGAGATCGGCGTGGTCGAGGTGCAAAAACTCGAGGTTTTTTGCGTTTTTGAGATTCCGAGATCGTGCGTGTCGAAGCGCTCTCGCTGTGGCGCCGTGCGAATTCTTCTTAGTCTCGGCGAACCCTTTTGCGGAGATCGTGCGTGTCGAAGCGCTCTCGCTGTGGCGCCGTGCTTTTTTGTTGCTCGCGAACTGGCCTTTGGAAGTTGTCTCGTGGTTTGCGCGCCTGCTTTCGCAATCCCGCGGTCGCGGGTTCGATTCCCCCCTGGTCCGCGGCAGCTCCGGCTTGAAAATCGCAGCTTTTAAGTACAAACGTAGTACGCGGATGGAAAATCGCAAGTACAGACGTAGTATGCGGAGCGTGCTCCCGCAGCTCCGGCTGGAAAATCGCAACTTTTAAGTACAAACATAGTACGCAGAGCACACTCCCGCAGCTCCGGCTGGAAAATCGCAACTTTTACGTGCAAAAATAGTACGCAAAGTACATTCCCACAGCTCCGGCAGCACTTGCGCAGAGCAACTTGCGCAGAGCCACTTGCGCAGAGCAACTTGCGCAGAGCAAGTTGCACAAAGCACTTGCGCAGAGCAACTTGCACAGACCAACTTGCACAGAGCGCATGCGCAACTGGCGCAGAGTAACTTGCGCAGCACTGCCATGTTTCCTCTGGTAGGACGATGAGATGGAGCTCTCATGTGACCATACACATTGAGCATCGCCGCGTGCAGACATGCTCGCCGCAGCGATGTAAAAGGTGTCTCCGCGGCTGGATGAGCACCTGGGGAAAAATGCTTTCGGGCCAATCGTCCTCTAGGTTTTTTTTTTGGGGGGGGGAGGAAAACGCGCTTCTGCCAGGTTTGTGCATCTGGATGAATACCATTCGCGGGATGCAACAATGACCAACAAAAACTGTTGGCTTTATTAGGGGTCAGTCAACGGCAATGCAACTCATCACTTTGGCCGCCAGGACGTCTCACAGTCGCCGGTGTCGGCATGAGGCCACGGACACTTGGCACGACTACCCGGGATACACGATGCTGAGCGGCTGCGACGTTGAGCTCAAGGGATGGGGCGCAGGTCTTAGTTGCTTGGTGCGTGATGCTTTCGTCTTGGCGTTAAAATGCTGGAAGGCTTGCATTTGGTACAGCTTCAGCACTGCGTGTTGCAGTCCTGTATGCCCGCCAAGACATTCCAGACTGCAAGACCTACGCGCTGAACCACAGCTATCCGGGTTTCAGCATTGGGCTTTATCGTGTTGGAGGGGCCCTTGCATGCTGCCAGCATTAAGAGTTTTTCGCTTGTGGCAGAACCACCCGCGGACTCTCAGGCATGCTGTTTTAAAACAGCCGATGCCGAGACTATCCTTACAAACCTGGTGTTCGACGACACCGTGCCAGCCTCAGACAGGACACATATTGCCACATGCGTTCGCACTGGTTTCTTTGCCATGAAGTGACACTAACGAGCGCACTCCCGAAGGTGTGTGCCGCTCAAGGAGCCTGTTTTTGAAAGGTGTGCGACCTTGCAGCCATGAGATTCCTGGCACCCGTGTACGGTGGCTTCTTTGGTGGGCGGCGCTGCATTATGATCCTGTCCTCCCTTCGCTGAGGTGTTGTTGCAGTTTGGGAAGATCACCACCGGCTTTGCCATTGAGCTTGGCGACGTCGAGCGCCGGTTGTTTCTGGAATTGACAACTTTTCAGTTTGTTCTTGCTTTCGGGTTGTGCGCTTGTTGACTGGTCACTGCCCGTTGCGCTGAATTTGTGTGACGCAAACAAGCATAATATCTGAATCGCTGGACTCCTTGAAGCGTGTCACTTCGCACACATTGCTTGCATGTTGGTTCTGCCTAGAACTTCAGAGCTTGAGAAATGGGTCTGGGCGCCTCGAGCGCGAAGACCTGTTTCCGCACAAGCCAAGCCCAACAAACCGACCATTCCTTTCGCTGAAAAAGCGTGAGTCTTGGAGGTGTCATACTTTGTGATGACTTCCGCTGTCACAAAACCAAGCGATGTTAACTTTGGTTTTAGACACTAGGGCTCAAGTGCGGAAATGGGTCTGGGCGCCTCGAGCACGAAGATCAGTTTCTGCACAAGCTTTCCCTGAGTTGCCCTTCTCAGCATTTCCAGCTTGATTCCGCTTTGGCATTGACGGAAGGAGTGGTGGGGTTTCCCCTGCCGCCTGTGCTAGAGGGTCTGACGCCCTTGCGCTGCTCCCTGGAGTGGGGGGAGAGGGTGCGGGCGGCGTCCCACTGGGTTGGCTCACCGCCGCAGAGGTGGTGAGGGCGGGTGGGGGTTTCCTGCCCTGCGATCCCCAGCGCCAGGGTGATCATGTCGTTTCAAGCACAATTGAACTCGGTGCTTGCGTTTGAAGACGGGGCAGAGTCTAGCTTGGCGCTGCTCCCTGGCGTGGGGGAGGAGGGTGCGGGGCCTGTGAGTCGGGCCCGCGGCACCCACTGGGTTGGCTCACCGGTGAGGGGGGGTGGGGGTTTCCTAACCCGCGATCCCCAGCGCCAGGATGACAATGTGCAGGCTTTCACTTGAAAGCAGGGGCATGAATGTAGCCTGTGCCCTCGCCCAACCAGAGCCTTAACAGTGAAAAAGAAAGCCCGCTGCACGATGCGGCAATCTCCTTGATTCGGTTGTGCCTTGCAGTTGCGATGCCTCCCATGATTACACGTTTGTGCCTTGACGGTTGTGACTTGCGCATGCAATGCCTGCTTGTGATTGCATGTTTTCGCCTTGAATCACGTATGAGTTGACTGAGAGAGAGTCCTGACGTGGTGCCAGGGCTGGTCGAACGACTTGCGCATGTGAACCCCCCCGTTTCAGTCAATCAAGCCTTTGCCCAAATTCTTGCCTCAAGCCATCTGGCGCATCAAGTTGGTTGAGAACACTGTGTTCTTATGTCATTGCCCGTGACATTGTGATTGGCTATTGGGTGTCCGCCAGCGTGGCCACGGCATGGATGCTAAGTATGGGGCCTTGCCCAAGCGGTCGAGGACTCTGGCGTACAGCCAGACATCCTGGTCACCTTGGAGGAGGCTGGCGTACGCGCCCCGTGGCAGGCCGCGCTTGCCTTGCAGCAGGTGGGCGGCGAATCTGGCTACCGTGCACAGTTGCGAGCCATTGTCCTCACAGCCCTTGGCCCCAAGCTCACGCCTGTGAGCCCGCCCCGTGAGGGAGTGAAAGAGACCGCGTCTGCGTCAACACGCAAGCGCAAGGATACACCGATAAGTCAGCAGAGCAACGGTGGCTCTTTGCAGAAAGCGCTGCGCGCAGCAGCCCCTGAGAACAGGGAGGAGTCACTCCGGAATCTTGAGCGGGATGTCTTTGCTCGCAGCAATCACCAGGCAATGGACGCCCGGTGGACAACCTGGCAAAAGCTGTCAAGACAGTGGGAGCTGGAGCCGTTGCCGCTGACCACGGCGAAGATTAGGGCCATAGCCTCTAGCCTCAAAGCAGGGGGCTACAAGAGCTTGAGAGCTTACTTTAGCCGGGTCAGGCGGCAGCATGTCGCGCAGTGTGGTGAAGCAGCACCGGCAGACGTTGACTTGGCCATCCGGGATGCTGTCAGAAGCATCGAGCGCGGGATAGGTGGCCCCGCCCTCGAGGACGGTTTCAGGTTCGAGCAAGTGACTTTGTCGTTGGATTCAATGTCAGCCACAAAGAAGGCCGCCATCTTCACCCTCGGTGTCTGGTTCCTCTTGAGAGAGATCGAGTTGGCGGCATTGCAGGTAAAGCATGTAGCGGTTGACGAAGCCAACACGATCGTGACCATCTCCTTGTCTTGCAGCAAGATGGACACAGTGGGACAGAGTGTCCATCGGAGTCACAAGTGCTACTGCAGCTACGTGCCTGAGACACGTTGCCCTTTTCATGTAGCCAAAGCTTTGTTGCAAGGGGCGCCGGCTGACGGCGAGGCCGTGACCACTATGAGGAGATGTCCAAGGAGGAGACCATTTCCATCATACGCGAAGTTCTGGGAGCATCAAACATCCCTCTCCTCAGGCCGGTCGACGCCCGCTGCATCGTTTTGGGGGCAAGGCGGGGCGCGCCTCTGTTTCATCATTCTGATGGGACGGTGGGGCAGTCGAGCAGTGGAGAGGTACGTCCAGGAGGCCCATGGAGGCGGTTGACTGTGTAGGTGAGTGGATGAGGATCACGCACAAAAGCCCTGTTGTTTGACTTGACACTTGACCAGCCTTCAGAACTTCAGAAGCCTTGCCGCCGCCCTCCCGGGCATTCAAGGACCATCCTGAGGAGAGCGCAGACCAGCCGATTTTCAACCTGGCAGCCATGCAGCGGAGCGTCCAGGACATCCTCCAAGCCATAGGCAGGCTGCACGCAGAAGCCCAAGTTTGTGGTGGCCAAGCAAGCTTATGTGAGGGACAGTCACGAAGAGGACCGACCCCCGATCATGTGGCGGACCAAGTGCGGATGGCCTTATGGCCACGAGGCCGACGTAGCCTCGCGTTGCAAGCGCTCTCGGCCGAGCCCAGCAGCGTCTCGAGTCACGAGCAGTTGGGGAGGGCACCCGCGGCAGGGGCCAGTTTTCACAGACGCGCTGATCCGTGCTAGGACAGGCAAGTAATCATAGGCCTTGCGTTGGGCTTGCTTTGGTCCGTGCAAGGGCCGGCCGTGACGATCGGAGTAGCAGTGACAAAGCCTTTAACCGTTGCGTGGCCAATTCGTTGCTGCAAGCCAGCTTTGAACAGGAGCCAGTGACAGGCGCTCACACTCGCCATTTTCGGCTTCAGATTGATGAGAAGTTTCCCCGCCATATAGGTAGTGGAGCTCAGCGAGCCCCCGCCCGTGGGGAAGCCTAGAATGACCGACTTCGACCCCGAGGTGGCAAAGATTTGGGACGACGTGGCCGCAAGTACTTGTCAGTCAGAGGGATCATCAAGGTTGGCATCTTGGCTTCACTTGCGTCAAGTCAAGATGAGCTGGACGACATTGTGGTCAACCCTCTGCAACATGGATTTGTGATTGATTCTTCCAACACCATCAAGTTCGACCAGTTGAGGCTCCCTGTCGAGAAGGCCAGGCTGCGGTGCGCTTGGAGGCAATGTAGCAGCCAGATCAGCACGCCCGCGACGCTGACAACTCCCAATGCGCCTTCGGCGACTCAAGCCCTCGAAGGACCTGCCAGCGGGGTGGTGGGCGACGCAGGTGGCCAAGTTCGAGGGCGCAACAGTGGGAGGCGCAAAGCGGCGCTTTCCACAGCAGCAGCTTCTTGCAGCAGAGGCGATCCTGGGAAGAATGGTCTTCGAAGCCAAGACGGAGACGCAGACGGCCCTTGGATTGCACGAGATCGTCCAGGCGCGATTCTTCAATTCCGCAGGTGAGCCCAACCCCTTGCACAAGGACAGGCGCAAGTTGAAGCTCCCAACGACAGTGGTCAACGCAGACCACCAGCTCCAAGCTGAGCCAGAGACAGCATGGCATCCGAAATCGACTTTGGCCTTCTTGGACTGCCTGGAATCAATTCGCTGGGCATGGGCCCTGACGGAAACAGGGCCAGAGCCCGCCATCGAACGCATGACCGAGGGGTTCTCGTGGAAAGTCAGGGTCCACTCGAACAAGTTGGAGCAGCTGCGGAGTTACTGGGAGACTATCTCTTGGAAGATTGCCCTCGGCTTAAGGTCCAAAAAGAAGTTCGCTGACATCGTGGACATAGTCATCAACAATATTCAGTCCCTCCAGCAAGCCCTCAATCGCGAGCCCGCCACGGAGAAGCCTGCCAGGAAGCACAACACCGACCAACGACAGGTCAGAAAGGAAAGGGCAAAGGCAAGAACGGGGGCAGCGGCAGTCATCGCTGGCAGCCGTACCACGAGCCTGAGCCCCGCAGCTGGCAGTCTTGGTCGCACTCGGAGGACATGCGCCAGTCCTGGCCACAACGCCAGGACAAAGAGTAGGGACAGCACGGGCCACCCTCTGACGGGGGCTGGGCCCGACCAGGTGCGGCTGGCGCCCAACCCACAGTTTCTTCAGCAGCAGTCTCGGGCAGCCAAGCGGCGCAAAGAAGGGAAGGGGCCGGGCCTCATTCTCCTTAGTTTCTTTGACGGCATTGGTTCTGCGCCAAAATTTGTGCGGACTTCCTGGGCGACCTCTTCCCAAGCCAGGCGGTGCTCGCGTGGGAAAGCGACCCTGACCTTGCCAACCTCACCGTCCAGCACTTCCCACACCTTGAGCACAGGGGCGACATGGACAAGGACTCCCCCTCGCAGGTCATCCGACGGCTCCGCAAGTTGGACCCCAAGTCCAGCGCAACTGTCATCATCTCCGCAGGCCCACCTTGCCCTGACTACAGCCGCATCCGAGAGGCTCCTGGAGCTCAAGGAGTTGAAGGCTCGAAGTTCGTCCGCTTTGTCGACCAGCTTGAGAAGAACCGGCTCTACCCGCAGGCGATCCTCGTGGTGGAGAACGTGGTTCCCGAGAACAAGCAGGATGTTCGACTCTTCGAGCAGAAGTTGTAGGCACTCTGCGGACCTCGGGATCATCTCTCGCCCGCGGACTTGTCCGTGGCAGGAATTGACCAATCGCCTCAACCCCCCCGTTGGCACAAAGTGGGGCACTTCCCAAGGAGTCCCTCGGGTCACCTTTGTGCAGCCCAAGGACAAGTTGGACCTCTACGACCTCGGCGACCTCCAGTGGCCAGCCAACGTCGTAACAACGCACGCCCTCGGAGGATCCCAAGGGCCGGCCGGCTCCTCGCTCTTGCAAGGGAAAGGTGGCTTCTGACACCCAAGCCCGGTGGCTCCATGGCAACAGACAATATGCACCCTGGCATTACGACGCAGACAACATGTGGAGAGCGAAGTCTGGCGAACTTTGCTTGCCATGCTGAGATCAAAGAGCAGCTTCACCACCTGCCCAGAGGATGGACCAGCTCTCTTTCAGACAAGCAACGGCATCGAGCCCTTGCCAACGGGTGGCGCCTTGGCGTCGCCAAGTGGTTTTTCATTTTGGCGGTGTTCATGGCGCAGCCCGCTCAAGCATTTCAAGGCCCCAATCACGAGCTTTGCGCCGAGCGCGGCTGCCTTTGAATTTGTGTTCGGCATGTGGGAATCCTCGCCACTGCTGACAGGTCCCGGCACTCCGGTGCTGCAGGCGCACGAGGGCCTGTCCGCCATACAATGTCCAGCGGAGCATTGGGACGCCAGCAAACGTGCTTTGCACAGCCAGCAGGGCCGCCCTCTTCTTGAACCAGGTCTGCGCCAATGGCTTCCTGTGTGGCGACATTGGCGACGAGTGCTGCTGCAGCTTCGCGAAGGCATCGTGCAGGACATCTATGCCCTCGTCCACGACCTCCAGGACACCACTGACCATTGGTTCGCGAACCTTAGGTGTACAACAACGTGCACGAAAGCCACCGCACTGCAGAAAGCTTCATCAGACACACAAGTAGGCAAACTCTCTGGCATTGTGCTCGACAGCACGTGCGGCCAACAATGCTGCATTATATGGTTCAGCATGACGCTAGTGCCGAACCAATACATTGTTTTGGGCATGGCTTGGCGAAAGGGGCCAGACCGCGCTCCAGGTGCCTGCCTTGGAATGGTTGGCACGGAAACTCAGCTGGCCAGACATGGCCATGTTCAACAAGTTGACAGAAGGATTCCCTCTCCGAGGGCGGATAGCGCCTGGCGCCTGGTGCTGGCTGGCGACTTCGGAAAGACGAGCGCTACCCCCTACGCCGCTTGAAGCCTTCTTCAAGGAAAACCACGAGTGTGTAAAGCAGAAGCTCCAGCGTGCCAAAGTTGATGAAGATTGGATGTGCGCATCGGACGAATGGAGGGGCCATTTGAGTGTGGCCCAAGAGGACAGTTGGCCTGCCCCAGTTTCAGCGCACTTCGGAGCTTCTGCCGTTCCCAAAAGGGCAGGTCGCCGTCTCCTTCGCAATGGGCAGAGGACTGGCGTCGTTGAGGTGCCAACAGAACTATACAGGTCCCCGACTCGCCAGCTTACCATGACATCCAGGCATTCGTGCAGGTGGTAAGGGCAAGCAGGGAAGATGGTGATTTGTTCCCGCTATGCACCTGGGGCTTAGATCACGAAGCAGCCTACAGACAGTTGCCTGCCAGAACCCCCAACCACACGTTCATGATCCTCGACACGCCTTTTGGGCCGACGTTGTGGAGACACAATGCAGACTTCATGGCGTGGCTCACTCGTTGTTTGCTCATCACGCCCACACTTCACTTTCTGGACGATTTTGGGGGCACCGAGACAGAGGTCGTGGCGACCTCTAGTTTTCAGCAGGTCCAAAACAGCTGCACTGCCCTCGGTTTGAGGTTCAAGGCCTCCAAAGCACAGCCGCCAAAACAGGCGCAGGTGCTGCAAGGAGTTGAACTTCAGCTGTTTCAGGACAAGGCAGTTGTAGCCTCAATACCAACAAGAGTGGATCGTCTGGACAGCCAGCTCAAGAAGGTTTTGTTGGATGAGCAGCTGAAGCCTCGAGACGCAGCTGCTTTGGCATGCAAATTGCAGTTTGTGGCGCAGTCTCTCTTCGGCCAAGCAGGTCAGGCAGCGCTGCGGCCTCTCCACCTTAGGGCGGGGGCCGACCGTCGTCGGCGACAGCGCGACTGGCCGCTCAGTACTGCCATCAAGGAAGCAATCAACTGGCTACGCCAACGCCTGCAACGGGCTGGCCCGAGGCCTGAGGTTGCGGTCATCTACGCCGACGCCTTCTTCGAGCTCGGAGGGCGACGAGTGCGCCCAAGCGAGGACCTGCCAGAGACCTTGAACTTTGCGCCTGCGTCCTTCAGCAACGGCTTCGGCTTTGTAGCCACAATCAAGGGACACACATGGTTCTTTGCCGGGAGCGTCCCCATGTGGTTCACCAGGCACTTCAGTTCACGAAGGGCTTTCATCTACATGCTGAAGGCAGTGGCGCAAGTTGTTCCATTAGTTGCCCTCCAGAGTCTTCTACCGCAGCACCTTCTCTTGTTCATCGACAACGAACCCGCACGGCAAGGCCTATACGGAAAGGATCCTCAAATTAACAAGCTTATTCAAGCTGTGTGGTCTCTGATTGAGGACAGACAGTGGTGGCCGGAATGGCAGAGAGTGTGTAGCGAAGCCAATGTGAGTGACGCAGTCAGCCGCTTTTGCTTTGCCAATGCCTACGCAGAGTGTTGGGAGTGGTTCGGCTTCAACTTGGACGAGACACTCCGGTGCATCTTGCATAGCACGGTGACTCTTTGACTCAGTGAGCAATTAGGGCTTCCGGTGCGAAAGATGCGCAGAGGCGTCGCAAGTCGCACCTATGGTGGCTCATCTGAACGCCCTCACCCTCGGTTTTCTTACAGACTTCGAGGTGAGGAAGCTTTATTCAGACAAGGCCTGCCGACGCACTAGCAAATACGTTGCCTTTTTGCGTGTAAGAAAGTGAGTGTGTCATGAAGTGCACGCTTGCCTGCACGCAGTGACACTAACGAGCGCACTCCCGAAGGTGTGTGTCGCTCAAGGAGCCTGTTTTTGAAAGGTCATACGGACAAGCAAGTGCTTTATATCAGCGAAGAGGCCTTTTGGCGCGGCTGCAGTTGCTTAACGAGCGCTTGAGGCCAGCGTGCATATATTCCAACCTGGTGGATATACTGTACGCACTCAAACTAGCGCCTTGGGAGTCTATGCCGGGATTATGCCAACAGGGCCGGCAGAAATCTACTTTGAGAAGTACCTGTATGCATCGCGGAACTTGAGCATCTGGGTGAGCGACAACATCCAAGTAGGCGGCTGGCAGCCATGGTGCTTGGGGACAGAGTCAACCGCAGAAGTCTTCACTTTCAGCCTTGAATGTGTGGCACACAGTGCCATTATTCTATCAAATTGTAGAAGAAAGGAAGAATCCAAGGAGTTTGGAATCTAGCTAGAGGTTTGTTCCCTTCACTCCTGTCAAAGCTTGAGTTTCCTGCAACAGCTTGGCGGTTTTTTCCGCTTCAGCGGGAATTTGGTTTTCGTTGCCAGGTCTCTCTTTTTTTCGGTGGGGTTGGAGCTGATTGGCTACAGTAATCCACGTAAGCAGCATTGCTGTCTTACACTGACTTGGAGGTTGAGAGTTGATGGGCTTTGAGTTGATGGGCTTTGAGCTTGCTTGGGGTTGGCCTTGCCTTGGTCCCGATGCCCAAATGGAAGGTGATGTGCCGCCTGTACAGGAATAGGCGGTCAGGCGAGTCATGTGTATACATTCCGCCCGATTTCAGGGGTGCCTGCAGCTACGCGACAGTCTAGGTTCAGTAGTCTTCAACACTTTCGGGGACATGTCTGGGCGCATTTTGCTTTCGTGTCTTTGGAGTGGGTGTTCGCACAAGAATGGCCGGCTGAACTCAACAGGCGACCCGGGGCACGGTTTGTCCCGTTGAGAGGTGGCTCTGCAGACATCTACCTGCAGGCCCTGGCGGTGGTGACGATTTGGCGCTTTGAGGCGGGCTTTAACTTTCTTGGGCATGCCGGACTCCCCCCCCCTCCCCCCCCGGCGTCATATTGGATCGTCCAACGGCCGAGTTGCTCGGCGCGGCATGTTGGGGCACTTTTCTGAGCTTGCAATTCAAGACACGCCAAGGGACGTTTATCGGCTTGCAACGGAACTCGCACGCCTGACATTGAGTTTGGAGTTTGAATGGACGAGTCTGGATAATCAACATCTGTTGAAGGGGTGAGGTATTCACAGGGGGACATGGAAGACATGCCAATCCTGCGTTTACACGCATCACCCATTTTTAAAATATGCACTCAGCATCAATCCCAAGATACCGTTGGGTTTGTGTTCCCTTTCTTTCACATTGGCAACTGACAGCGCCTACGCTGAGGTGGACTGGAGCTCCTCGAGCCCAGTAGACTTGGACGCCCACTCCTTTGACCCCTGGGACTGCCACGTCTACTTTGCCAACCGCCAGTGCAAGCACGCGCCTCCGCGAGTTTCCTTTCTTTTTCTTTTTGTGGGGTCCCGCTTGTGCAGATGTCTCTCTTTGTAGCATGTACACGGGCTAGCGCAACTCGAGTTTGGGGAGTTGCATGTTGGAGCCGCCAGTGGTATCTGTTGGTATAGCATCTGGATCCACACGTCTATAGTCCATGGCCTGGCCAGTGGCTATGTCACATCGACGCCTCCTGGGCTTGAGGTTGGAAGCCATGGGCTTACAGTGACTCTGAACCGAGACAGCCGCGACGTTCTGAATGGCAAGGAGGTGCGCGTGGCGCATGTGATAAGTTACTGCTCGCCATTCAAACCCCCAAACTTTGAGTAGCGAGTTGGTCAGACGAAAATGCACAAGCAGCAGCTTTGATTGTATGCCCGCATTCCTTCTGAAGAGGTGCATATGATCCGGTCCGCCTTTGCAGGTCATCACCGTTCACCAATGGCCATGCGACGCTACGCAAGCAGCCATCGGAGGCTGCCGTAATCAGCACAGATCTTCGTCAGTGCAGTTCATTTGCTTGGCAGGCTACCGGGACGTTTGGAGCTGCCTGACCTACTTCTGGGTGCAGGTCTTCTCTCAGAACAACTTCGCAGACGTCCAGGGCAAGGTCAGCATCTTCCGTGAGGGTTTGCTTCTCGAAGAGGTGCAGCTACCCACGACAGCGGACAGCTTCTGGGTCGGCTTCGTTCTGGAGCTGTGGATAGATTTAGTGGGTTTTGCCCGGAACGTGCGCAGGAAGCAAATAAGAATTAAACACATTTTCAACTGTTTCCGGGAGTGGGAAACAATACAAATCAGTTTTACTATGTCCCACCTCCCGAAAACAATTAAAAAGCAACGCTTTTACTATTTCCCAGGAGCTTGAAGAAAATTATAAACATGCATTTTTACTATTTCCCACCTCCCGGAAATAATCAAACACGTATTTTTGCAATTTCCGGCCTCCTGGAAAACAGTAAACATGCATTTTATATCATTTCCGGGAGGTGGGAAGCAAAAAAATACTTGGGGGGGCGGGGCTGGGACTATTTCCGGGAGGCCGGACATGATGATACTACTACTATGAATAGTAATAGTAACAAACAATGCAATTGGGGGGGGGGGGCTGGGACTATTTCCAAGAGGCCGGACATGATGAAGAGGGCTTCTGGACGGTTTCCGAAATAGTAAAACATGCATTTTGCTGCTATTTCCTGCCTAGTAAACATGCATTTTTTGAAAACAACAATATATTTCCAAGTGTCAAGTGCATCTTCCCCCTCCCTCTCGTGTTTGCTTTTGCTTCGCAGTGCATCATTGATCTTCCCACAACCGTTTGGCTCAAGGCCTTTCTTAGTTGTACCACACGTAGCCATTGCGCTAGAGGACAAAGAAACTTGCGGTACGCTCTTACAGTGTTCCTACAACAAACAGCGTTGAATCCTCTTGAAATAGATGCAGGGACCATAGCAGAGAGGGAGTGCTGGCAAAGCCACATTCGTCAACTTGCTGCAGCAGGCGGCCCGCATGCAATCGCACACCTGCGTGCGAAGCAACAGGGAAGAGTCACTCTGTCCTCTTTCCCGCAAAGTTTCGACACCGTTGACGGCGCTGTCAAGAATGTTAGGAGTCCTTTTCGGGCGTTTTCTGCAATATGCCTTGTGAGGAGAGAGATCAGTCTTGTTTACCTTATCTCCACAGCTTCTCGAATCAAAGGCCCAGCTGCTTTTCATTTTGATGAAGTATGGCTTGCGTTGAATACACTCCGGGCGGGCAAAACCTCTTGGAGCCAGTGGAACTTCCAACGAACTTCTGATCGAGCTTGCAAAGCTTGAGAAGGGCAGGAAGCTTTTCGCTGCTGCGCTAAACGGCTTGCTTTTTGGAACGTCTTTTCCGGATTGGCTTACAACTGGGCACGTGTGCCTTGTTCCCAAAGAGACGCATGTCAGCTCTGCCAACATGCTGCGGCCAGTCATCTTGCCAGATTGTGCTCGGAAATTTCGCGTCCACGCTTATGAACCACGCCTTATTTACCTGCCCTTCATAGCTTGGAGGTGTGCCAGGGGGGCAGCCTGTTGATGACCTGCCTGACATTGCTCGCATTCAAAGGGAGCACCAATGTTGAATATTTGCGACCGCCGCTTGGATTTGACAGAAAGCTGGTGACCTTTGTCACCATATGCTGCAAAATGCATTTTGCTCACGGGGAGGCTTGCGCTCCATGATTAGTAGCCCGCACCAGGGCATAACCGCGCTTGAGATGCTCTTGGGCCGCGATGTTGCGAGCGCGTGGCTTTGGATGTCTCCCCTTTTATACCCCCACGCCTCAACACTGCGACACGCAAGCCAGCCTTTTTGTCCAAGCTTTGAGGCTGTTTACCGAGAAGGCCCCTTGCTCAAAAGATTCATGCTGTTACGCAGTCTGAAGATCGAATATCTTTGAAGATTGTGGAGCTAAAAGGCCAGTCACCTACTAGGTGCCTTCAATCCCTTCACAAGAGCGCAGCCGGCGGGAAGGCCAAGCTAGCCAACAAAAACCATGGTCCCTCTAATCAGGCGTATTGGGGAGAAGGCAAGGGCAAGAAAGGAAGAAAGGAAAAAATCCAATATCCTTTCGATAGAAACAAAGGTTATCCATCCAACGAGAATGGTAAAGGCAAATCCAAAACGTTCGCGGCTATTGCAGAGAAACCGGAGGAGCGTTGCAGAGCCTACCTATGCCGGTTGGAGTGACCAAGATTCGGATCAATCATGGTACCCATCCCATAAAATATCAGAAGGTTCAGCGCAGGGCATGCGATGATGGCAATGCATGATGCGTTTCAGCAGCATGAGAACGAAGCCACCCTTGAGAAGCTGAGCCAACTCGAGAGAGTTTCTGCGCAACGTGTCAGTCACCGCCAGCCAAGCTGATGGCGCCTGTCATCAAGCACAGAACAATCCAACCTATGCAAATTGGGACAACGGATGTGCCAGATCCATGGCAGGCCATCGAACCAATGAAGAACCTCTTATGAGCACATTCCGGCCGAGACCCAGTTCACTTTTGCTTTTGCTCATGGAGAGACAGCCAAGGTCAACTGGACGTTGCGCCTCAAGTATCACACGACTCCTCCAGCCAGCGCCAACATGACATCCTTGAACAAGGAACTGTACCGATACTCCTTACTATCAGTCAGATGAGAAACGTCTACATGACCATCGAGCACACACCTCAATGTGACAAGATCACACGCAAGGCTTTCGGTCCGGTTTGGAACATGACATGCTCTCCTTCGATCTTGCTGGAGTGGCAAAACTGAAATTCCACGGGGACAACAAGTATGTGTATGAGGACGATGACAGCATGGAGTTCCCACACCCGGAACCGTCGAAAAGCGAGATTGTTTGCGCGTCCTAGTCATGCGAGCAAAAGAGGACGTAGCAACCCCGAAGATAATCGGATCTCAGAAGCAGCACCGTTGGATACTTGACCAGAAGCACAAGTGGCTCATGCGTCACGCCTGGAAGGCATTGTTCATGCCATCAGGAGCTAAGGAATGTGCAAAGGGCTGGTCGGCCATTGAGCCAGATTCTTTTGCATCACTTCCCCTTGCCTTAGACAGTATCCACCAGCGATTGTCCAAGCCGGAAGAGTTGAAGAAGCTCCACCTCCAGCATCACCGCAGGAATGCCGACCAATCTCGATTCAGAACTTGCGCGCTTGATTACAAAAAACTCACACACGACCTGTTTGATAAGATTCGTAGCGAGTGCGAAGTTTGCCAAGCAGCAAAACAAGCAGAGAAGCAACACGAGTGGACTTAGGCGGACACATTGGGAGACATGACGCTGATTGATTATTGTCGGGATCCCCTCGGACGCGGAGAGCGCATCATTGTTTTTGTCACCCTGGATGGAGCAACTTTCGCTGCAGTGAACACCGTGCAGGAAATCGAGAACATCACTGTTCTCAGGAACTACTTTGACCAGTACCACTTGCAGCCCAAATCAGTTGTCGCAGATCAAACTTTCATGACTGAGACATGGGAGCGCTTCTATCAATCCCTCGACATCAACCCAATCTCGTGATCAAATTCTCCGCGGCCAAATCGAGCTGCTGGTTGAGTTTTGAAGGCACCAGCAGATCTCATCCAGCTTGATGTCGCAACACCTACAAAATTGACGATCGACAGGAAATTTAGACCAAACAGCTGCCCAGCATTTTCGTGGTCGCAGCGCCAACCCCGGCAGAGAACATGTTTGTGGAGGATCTCACATCCATTCCTGCGCAAGGACAACAAGCGTCAAACAAACACTTGCAAATGTTTTTCACGACTTAGCCGGAGGCCACAAAGAAATTCGCGTAGCCCGCGAGGATCTTCCTTGTGCGGGGCCACGAAGGGCCGTCGAAGGCCATGACAGAAGTCACAAAATGTCACAACCACGACAGGGCCATGGGGAAGCCAGGAGCCGCGACTGGTGTGTGATGGCCAACGGAGCCACGACACGGACCCACGGCCACAACGGCGCCCGCATGCCTTTGAGCTTTGAGATTTGGTGCCATATTGCTTGCTTTTGTCGGGTTCGCTCCCTCATTCTTGAACTGGCGCACAGGGACTGTGTACGCAAAGGAAAAACCATGTTCTTGAGATTTCTGCAGGAAGTGCAAGATTCAGCCAATGCTGCACATGTCCAGGTCGCAATGGCATCACAGGAGGTATGTCATCATCGAAAATCCTCAGACATTTTCATTGCGTGCAGCAGTTGTTTTCAGATCCGTCCCCAGGCTTGTGTGCATGCGATGCGGGCAATCCGGGCTCAGGAGCCTAAAGCATTGCCTATCTCCTGAGGTAACGAGACCAACCTTCAGGAAATGCAAAAAGCTCACTAGCTCGGTGAAACACAAGCATCAACCGCTTCAAGGCCATGCGGGCACCTTCAGCAGAACCAAACTGGCACAGGTTTACCCTTACCAGTTCCGCCAGGATCTCGCGCGTATCATCCTGAGACACCTGAAGGTAAAGCCGCTCGACAATGATGTGTACCTTCTCGAGGACATCTTTGAGCCATTCACCCATCGGCAGGTTGATCTTCTCCGTACGGAGACGGATGATCGATGAGGAGTTCAACATGACCAGCAACACCGCTGGACCTCCAATTCATACAAGAATGTGACCATTTATCATCCAACACCCGCTAGTCCAGAAGTTACAGAAGACAATGTGGCAGGCAGGCAGGATGAACTCGGCCCGCACGTACCAACCTCACCAGAGAACCATGAGGTATACTGACCAAGAAAACAGTGAATCAGAAGATTCTAGAGGACGCGAGCAGACGACGATCAACAGGCCGACCTTGACGAGGCGCACTTGTGTTTCATGATGGACGGCCAGAAGATATGTGCCAACACCGGATCATTCACAGTTCCGACATTGAAGAAAACTCTGTTTCTGTTAGGAAAGTGAAGTTCTCTTCTGAGAGATACACCGGCAAGAGTCCTGTGGACGGTTACGCAAGCACATGATGGACGACGACCGCGCGCTTCTCGTCTTGTGCTCGAATCCGCGAAGGCTTCCACGACATCCGCGTTGATTGGGAAAAGTGGAAGGAGGCTACAGCTAGTAAAGCAAGAGCTTATCAGAAGCAATTCCTCGAAGCAAAGCTGTTAGAGTGCCAATCTTGGCTTGATATTGAAGTGCTCGATTTAGTCGACGCACGAACCATCAAGGTCAGGAATTGGGTCACCGGTCGTTGGGTCCTCACTCTGAAAAGAGACAAGGACGGCAACTTCTTGAAGACCAAGGCTTGTTGGGCCCTCCGAGGATTCCAAGACAAGCAGAAGGACGAACAGCAGACAGACAGTCCTGCTGCGTTCCGGAGTGGTTTCCGCATAGCAATCCAAGCAGAAGCAAACAAAGACTGGAACATCTTTCACATGGATCTGAAGACTGCCTTGATCAGAATCAAGATACAATTTGTCAGATCCCTCCTGAAATGGGATATCCATCATGCATTGGTGCACGCATGAAGAAGCCTGTGTACGGGCTCAATGATGCGCCGCGCAGATGGTGGAAAATCCGACTCGGCGCTTCGATCCAACGGACTCGTGCCAACCCGAGCAGACCAATGTACTGTAGATATGTTTACTACGGTAAACAGTGTCCGAAATCCACATTGATCCGTGAAAGAAAACATCCAATTTGTTTGATTTAGAAGGCGCAGTTGATTGTTTTGTGGATCCTGTTTCCGGTAACAATGCTCAGAATCGTCAAGTTCATGCAGCCCTTTCACTTCACGTAGACGATCGTCTTTTGACCGGTGATGATGCTTTTGAGAAGGAAATAATGGGATGACTAAAGGCTTCTAAGTTGGTTCCGAGAAACGGGGTGCTGCGCCTCAGATGCATACTGCATTAAGAAGCGTCCTAGGTTAGACCAATTGGTTGCAGTCACGAACATAATTCCACATTGGTTATACCAGTTCTCGCGATGCGCATCCGGAGCAGCATCCTCAACCATGGATGTTTGCGCCATTAATAAGACACTACCGGTTGTCCTGACGCATTCTACCGCAATAATGAGGACAAGTCATCCCAACGCGCGCGTGCTGCCTTTCTTGCTGAAGAAGGCGATTTTCGCAAAGGCTCGTCGAACTCGAGAGGTTCTCTGATCGACTATGAGAACAGTTGCTGAAGTGCACGGACTGATGCGTGGTTACGGTTCGTCACTTTTGCTCCGCGATCTGTGGCCAGACACAACAGGTGAAGTTGCAGACGTGCGCATTCGAATGGATGCAATCAACCTTGATACAACTGCCTCGGCAACCCATCAGCCTGGGCAGAAGGAAACCATGCGCTTGATTCAGATGTTGCAAACGAAAAGCAATAGCGGGCAGATGCACGACCTTGCGCATGTGCGAAGCGAAGATTGTCTTGCAGATTCATTGGCCAACAGTCAGGCAGGCAGACGAGCTGATCAAGGCAGTCCTGCCCGGCAACCTTTTGAATGTTGACGCTCATCCGCCAGTACAATGTTACAGAACAAGGCATTTCTGGTCGAACGGCTTGCGCGCAACACAGCGCATGGCCCCTGACATCATTGCATTCGTAGGAGTCGGGAGTTTGCTTATTGGGGAACATGGGCATGAGTGGGTCATTCCTTCCGAACTTATCGCATGAATCCATTCTCAACCTTTGAGCTATTGTGCGTGAACTTTCCCTTTGCGGTCCCCACGAGAAGCACAAGAAGCAGCCAGCGATTTCCACATGGAGGGCTGCAATGACAACTAATCAGCCAATCCTCATCATCACATCCAAGAGAGGATGGTGCGACGGGGTCAAAAATCCAGCTCGTCCGTTCAGAGGAAGGAGTGAAGATCGATGCACCTGCGAAGGAGAAGAAGAATCCCAAGCCAGCACAGCCATTGAAGCTGACGCCGAAGATCAAGGTACGGCCAAGGCGTGGTATGGAGGAAGGTTCTCTTCAGGGCTATGCCGCCTTTGCCGCGCAGAGCATCAGGCAAAAGAAGATGCAACACGCTTTAGACATGACTAGGTATCTCTCTTGCTTCCCAATCATGTGTGCGAATTCAACACGCATTGCACTTTTATATACTTTCCATTTGCCAGACGAACAAAATCCGACCGCGTCGCAAAGTGATCTTGATGAATTGAACATAAACTCGGCATTAATCTATTTAAAAGGGCTACGGCATAAAAGGCCAAGGCGGTACGTCCTTACAGTATTCCTAACATCGGTTTGGGCCCAACTAACAATGGTCATGGTAGTCAAGCCTCCCCCCCATTCAAACGAAATTTAGTGTTCCCCGCCCTTTCTGGCAAGACTTATTGAATAATAATGGGACTCAGTCCCCCCCCCCCCTTCATGTCCGGTTGCTCTTTGCTTCAGCCTTCAAGTGAATGTAGTCCCCCCACGGCACAAGGACAATACATAAATTATAATGGTCCCCGAGCGGCCCCCTCATGCCCGTTTGCTCTTTGCTTCAGCGAACTAAGTGCCTCTTCCCCGCCCCTGCCCTTTCGCCGGGTTTTGAAAAAGGCTTCGCGTGCGCCGCAAGATTCTGCTTGTGAGTCATGCGGCGTGACTTGTGACAGGGATCTTGCGAGCCAAGGATGCGGGCAGCAGCATCGTGACGTCCCAGAATCAAACAGGTGGCTCTGAGGCTGTCGAAGGCTTTGTCTCCGGCATGTACCTGTCAACTTTCCAGATGCCACCAGCGCGGGAGGTGCGACGCCTAAGCCAGGTGGCTTGGCACAGACTGTCTGGCCAAGAGGTTTCTCCAAATTTGGATGGTTTGCAAGGGAAACCAAAAGGGAACCACCTACCTAGAGGGGTCCCCAACACCCACAACGTTTGCGAGCCAAAAGCCGTTTCCGGACTGGTGAAGTCCAAGGCTGGCCGACAAGTTCCTCATTGGCAAGAGCAACTTCGCAAGGAGATGCCTGCGAGATGCGCGCGAGCTGCGTGTGTCATGAAGGCCATGAGTCTTCCCAGAGGAAAGAGAAAGAAAGAGCTAGAGAGCGAGAGAGAGAGAGAGAGAGAGAGAGAGAGTGAGAGAGAGAGATAGAGTGAAAGAGAAAGAGAGAGAGAGAGAGAGAGAGAGAGCCAGACAAGCAGGAGCTGTCAAGCGAGAAAGAGGCTGATGTTGCGCAAGTGGATTACCACAAGCTGGGCGGCACAAGGACGGAGAGCATTGATAAGGGGGGACGTTCCGCGAGGATATAAAAGCGCTCGCGGGGAAATAAAAAATGACGAAAGCAAAAATAAGCAAACGCGTGCGCAGAAATAAGCAAATTGCGTAGGAAAATAAAACTCACGTATAACAAACTAAACAAGCCCGCGCAACCCCCAAGCCTCGTTTTGCGTAGCAACCTCTACCTTATTTAGTTCTTGGCTTGCAAAGCCCATGAGCAAGTATCAGGGCAAGAATCGCGCAAGAAAATTAAACACACAGATAAAAAATAAAACACGCCTCCGCAATCGCTCAATGCCTATCGCGCCACAATCCTTCCTGCATGCGTTTTTGTTTTAACTTCTCGGTTCAGTTTCCCACCCCAACCCCCCCCCCCCCCCCCCCCCCCCCCCCCCCCCCCCCTCCCCCCCTTTGCTGCGTTTTCATATCTATTTTTTTTTGGGGGCGGGCCGCAGCGCCATGATGATCGAAGTGCAAAGTAGCGGGGGGGGGGGGGGTTTGGCGGGTTGGGGGCAGCCCCCCATGATGATCAAGAAAGGGATGACTCAATTAGGGCCAAGAACCATCATGATGATTGTTAAAGTGATGATTCAAATAGGGGCCAAAAAGCTGTTAAAAAGTAGCAGGAGGAGGAAAATGTGATGGTTCAATTCAGGCACCAAAAAAAAAGTAGCTGGGCGGGGGGGGGGGGGCGGTGATCCAAAAAAGCTATGATTGAAACAGGGCCTCTTCCCCCCAACCCCCCTCCCTGCTACGTTTTAGGCTTTTCTTTGGAGGGGGAATTTATTTTATGAATTTTCAACGTTTTTTGTGTTTTTTTTTTTTTTTTGTTTTTTTCGCTTTTGGCTTCTTGGCTTTTTGGCTTCTCCTTCTTGGCTTCTTTGCTTCTTGGCTTTGTGGCTGCTTGGCTTCTGGGCTTCTTGGCTTCTTGGCTTCTTGGCGTTTCGGCTTCTTGGCTTCTCGGCTTCTGGGCTTCTCGGCTTCTGGGCTTCTGGGCTTCTTGGCTTTTTTGTTTCTTGGCTTCTTGGCTTCTTGGCTTTTCGGTTCTCGGCTTCTGGGCTTCTAGGCTTTTTGGCTTTTTGCTGGTTTATGCGGCTTTTGGTGGCTTTTGGGCTTTTCGCATCCTCTGCATTCCCAATTCCTCTTCGGCAGGTAGCGTTTTTGCCTTTTTGCATCTTTTCGCTGGTTTGCGCGGCTTCGGCTTTGGCTTTTCGCATCTTCGGGCTTTTTGGCTATTGGTTTTTGGATTTGGCTTTCCGCATCATCAGCATCACCACCACCCTATTTGAATCATCACTTCTTCGAGCGTCATGGGGGGGGAACCCCGCTACTGTTTAGATTGTTTGCAGAGTAATTGCACCCCTATTTGAATCAACTCTTCTTCAAACATCATGGGGGGGGTTGCCGCCTCCCCCCCCCCCTTACTTTTTAGATTTCTTGTAGAGATTGAATCACCCCTGTTTGAACCATCACTTTTTTCGAGCGTCCAATTTCGCGAGAACATGCTGCAAAATACGACACTTTAGGTAATCTGTGTAGTCCATGTATGTCCGTATGTATGCAGTTCTTCGAACATCATAGGGGAAGCTTCTATCACACCCTTTCTTGAATCATTGCACCCCTACTTGAATCATCACTCCTTCCGACATCATGGGGGGGGCTGCCGCCCCCCCCCCCCAACCCCCCCGCTGCGTTTAAGATTTTCTACAGAGATTTAATATTTAATTAGTTGCACCCCTAGTTGATGAATCACCAACTCTTCCAACATCATGGGGGGGGGCTGCCGCCCCCCCAACCCCCCCCCCACTACTTTTTAGACTTTTTAATCAGACATTGAGTTGCACCCCTATCCAAATCATCACTTCTGCAAAAACATTATGGGGGGGGGCTGCCGACGCCCCCCCCCCCCACCCCCCGCCCCAACCCGCCCAACCCCCCCCCCCCCCCCCGCTACTTTGCACGTCGATCGTCATGGCGCTGCGGCCCCTTCCCCCCAACCTCCTCCCTGCTACTTTTTAGACTTTTCTTTGGAGTGGTATTTATTTTACGATTTTTCCCGTTTTTTTCTTCTTTTTTTTCCGCTTTTGGCTTCTTGGCTTTGTGGCTGCTTGGCTTCTGGGCTTCTTGGCTTCTTGGCTTCTTGGCGTTTCGGCTTCTTGGCTTCTCGGCTTCTGGGCTTCTCGGCTTCTGGGCTTCTGGGCTTCTTGGCTTTTTTGTTTCTTGGCTTCTTGGCTTTTTGGCTTTTCGGTTCTCGGCTTCTGGGCTTCTAGGCTTTTTGGCTTTTTGCTGGTTTATGCGGCTTTTGGTGGCTTTTGGGCTTTTCGCATCCTCTGCATTCCCAATTCCTCTTCGGCAGGTAGCGTTTTTGCCTTTTTGCATCTTTTCGCTGGTTTGCGCGGCTTCGGCTTTGGCTTGTCGCATCTTCGGGCTTTTTGGCTATTGGTTTTTGGATTTGGCTTTCCGCATCATCAGCATCACCACCACCCTATTTGAATCATCACTTCTTCGAGCGTCATGGGGGGGGAACCCCGCTACTGTTTAGATTGTTTGCAGAGTAATTGCACCCCTATTTGAATCAACTCTTCTTCAAACATCATGGGGGGGGTTGCCGCCTCCCCCCCCTTACTTTTTAGATTTCTTGTAGAGATTGAATCACCCCTGTTTGAACCATCACTTTTTCGAGCGTCCAATTTCGCGAGAGCATGCTGCAAAATACGACACTTTAGGTAATCTGTGTAGTCCATGTATGTCCGTATGTATGCAGTTCTTCGAACATCATAGGGGAAGCTTCTATCACACCCTTTCTTGAATCATTCCACCCCTACTTGAATCATCACTCCTTCCGACATCATTGGGGGGGGGCTGCCGCCCCCCCAACCCCCCCGCTGTGTTAAAAATTGTTACAGAGATTTAATGTTTAATTAGTTGTACCCCTAGTTGAATCGTCAATTCTTCCAACATCATGGGGGGGCCCCCCCCCACCCCGCTACTTTTTAGACTTTTTGCAGACATTGAATTGCACCGCTATTCAAATCATCACTTCTGCAAAAAGCATCATGGGGGGGGCTGCCGCCCTCCGCCCCAACCCCCCCCGCTACTTTTAATTTAATTTTATTAATAGGAATTGAAATGCCCTCCTACTTGAATTTCTTTCACCCCGTCACACGATTTGTTTGTGATGTTAGGGATGTTGGTCGGACATGCGGGGGATGTTGAACACGATGCTAGGGATGTTGACGGGCTAGCGTAAAATGCGTCAATTTCGCGAGAAAATGCTGTAAAATACGACACTTTACTGGCCCGGCAGAGATTGAATTGCACCCCTGTTTGAGTCATCACTTTTTCGAGTACCAATTTCGCGAGAACATATTGCAAAATACGACACTTTAGGTAATCTGTGCAGTCCATGTCTGTCTGTATGTATGCATTTCTTCGAACAACCCTCCCGCTGCCTTTTAAATTCTATCACACCCTTTCTTGAATCATTGCACCCCTACTTGAATCACCACTTCTTCCGACATCACGGGGCGGCAGCCCCAACCCCCCCGCTACGTTTTAGATTTTCTACAGATTTTAAATGAATTGCACCCCTAGTTGAATCATCAATTCTTCGAACATCATGGGGGGGGGCTGCCGCCCCCCAACCCCCCCCCCCCCCCCCCCCGCTACTTTTTAGATGTTTTTTTTTGCAGAGACCGAATTACACCCCTATTCTAAGCATCAGACCATCATGGGGGGTGGCAGCCCCGCTCTGTTTTTTTTTTTCTGGCTGACCCTCCCGCTGCCTTTTAAATTCTATCACACCCTTTCTTGAATCATTGCACCCCTACTTGAATCACCACTTCTTCCGACATCATGGGGCGGCAGCCCCAAACCCCCCGCTACGTTTTAGATTTTCTACAGAGATTAAATGAATTGCGCCCCTAGTTGAATCATCAATTCTTCGAACATCATGGGGGGGGGGTGCCCCCCCCCCAACCCCCCCCCCCTTACTTTTTATATTATTATTTTTTGCAGAGACCGAATTACACCCCTATTCTAATCATCAGACCATCATGGGGGGAGGGGCTGCCACCCCCCCCGCTCTGTTTTATTATTTTTTCTGGCTGGGATTGAGATGCCCTCCTGTTTGAAGGGGGGACGTTCCGCGAGGAAATAAAAGCGTTCGCGAGGAAACAAAGAATGACGAAAGCAAAAATAAGCAAATGCGTGCGCAGAAATAAGCAAATTGCGTAGGAAAATAAAACTCACGTATAACAAACTAAACAAGCCCACGCAACCCCCAAGCCTCCTTTTGCGTAACAACCTCTACCTTATTTAGTTCTTGGCTTGCAAAGCCCATGAACAAGTATCAGGCCAAGAATCGAGCAAGAAAATTAAACACACAGATAAAAAATAAAACACGCCTCCGCAATCGCTCAATGCCTATCGCGCCACAATCCTTCCTGCGCTTCTCGGCTTCTGGGCTTCTTGGCTTTTTGGTTTCTTGGCTTCTTGGCTTCTTGGCTTCTTGGCTTTTCGGTTCTCGGCTTCTGGGCTTCTGGGCTTTTTTGTTTTTTTGCTGGTTTATGCGGCTTTTGGTGGCTTTTGGGCTTTTCGCATCCTCTGCATTCCCAATTCCTCTTCGGGGTAGCGTTTTTGCCTTTTTGCATCTTTTCGCTGGTTTGCGCGGCTTCGGCTTTGGCTTTTCGCATCTTCGGGCTTTTTGGCTATTGGTTTTTGGATTTGGCTTTCCGCATCATCAGCACCACCACCACCCTATTTGAATCATCACTTCTTCGAGCGTCATGGGGGGGGAACCCCGCTACTGTTTAGATTGTTTGCAGAGTAATTGCACCCCTATTTGAATCAACTCTTCTTCAAACATCATGGGGGGGTTGCCGCCTCCCCCCCCCTTACTTTTTAGATTTCTTGTAGAGATTGAATCACCCCTGTTTGAACCATCACTTTTTCGAGCGTCCAATTTCGCGAGAACATGCTGCAAAATAC